ACAGCGTCCATGCTCTTCCAGGTACCAGGAGGAGATGATGGTCCCAGTGGTGTCTTGGTGTGTGCGGAGGATAACATCACCTACCGCCACTCCAACCAAGGTGCGTTCCGCGTGCCTATCCCGCGACGCAGCGGAGCCACTGAAAACCCTGAGCGTAAGCGCTCGATTGTCTCGGGAGTCATGCACAAGATGAGAGGCGCTTTTTTCTTCCTTCTCCAAACCGAGGATGGTGATCTGTTCAAGTTGAACCTGGAAATGGTCGAAGACAAGCAGGGCAAACCCACCGGAGAAGTGAAGAGACTGACGATCAAATACTTTGATACAATTCCTGTATCAACAAACCTCTTGATTCTGAAGAGCGGCTTCCTCTATGCTGCCAGTGAATCTGGAAATCACAACTTTTACCAATTCGAAAAGCTTGGTGACGACCCCGATGAGCTCTGCTTTTCCAGCGACGCATTCTCAGCTGATCACTCCGTGCCTTCCGCACCAATCTTTTTCCATCCCCGAGGGGCTGAAAATGTCAACCTCATGGAAAGCATGAACTCTCTGAGTCCTCTGATTGACAGTAAGATTCTCAATTTGAGTGAGGATGATGCACCTCAAATTTACACCATCTGTGGTTCTGGGGCCCGAAGTACATTCCGGACTCTGAAGCACGGACTTGAGGTCTCTGAGATCGTAGAGTCGGACCTTCAACAGGTGCCTTCGGCTGTATGGACAACCAAGTTGTTGCGAGCCGATGAGTTCCACACATACATCATTCTCTCTTTTGCGAATGGCACCCTCGTCCTGAGCATTGGCGAAATTGTCGAAGAAGTCTCCGACACAGGATTCCTTTCTTCAGCTCCAACTCTGGCAGTGCAGCAACTTGGTGAGGACTCTTTGGTCCAAGTTCACCCCCGCGGTATTCGTCACATTCTCGCTGATCAGCGAGTGAATGAATGGCCTGCTCCACAGCACCGGTCAATCGTTGCAGCAGCCACGAATGAACGTCAAGTTGCCGTGGCACTCAGCTCCGGTGAAATTGTCTATTTCGAGATGGACGCCGATGGAACATTGGCTGAGTATGATGAGCGACGACAGATGTCTGGTACCGTGACCTCTCTGAGTATGGGAGAGGTCCCCGAGGGCCGCATGCGAAGCTCCTTCCTGGCTGTTGGTTGTGATGACTCTACTGTCCGCATTCTCAGCTTGGACCCAGACTCAACACTGGAGAACAAATCAGTTCAAGCATTGACATCTGCGCCATCTGCCCTGCAAATTATGGCCATGGCCGACTCGAGCTCGGGAGGCACAACTCTTTACCTTCACATCGGTCTTTACTCCGGTGTCTATCTTCGTACTGTTTTGGACGAGGTGACTGGTGAGCTTTCGGACACTAGAACTCGCTTCATCGGTGCCAAGCCTGTGAAACTATCACAGGTCTCTGTGAAGGGCCAAACAGCTGTTCTCGCTCTCAGTGCTCGTCCCTGGCTGGGATACTCTGACGTCCAGACTAAGAGCTTTATGCTCACACCTTTGGACTACGTCGGGCTAGAATGGGGATGGAATTTCTCTAGTGAGCAGTGTGTGGAGGGCATGATCGGCATTCAAGGCCGCAGTCTACGGTATGTGGTGCAACCAATCTCTAACTTCCCCCCAATCCTCCCCAGCCCACCGATCCTGTGATGAGAAAATCAATCCGAACTTTTATGTGGATGAAACTTTAAAAGAAAAATTCCAATTGTTCCTTCTGAGATCAACCCTCTCTCATACCACGCCCAAACTCCAAAATCTTTTTGGACTGGTACTGACTGAATATAGGATTTTCACCGTTGAAAAGCTGGACAACAACATGCTTCAAGAGTCCATCCCTCTCTCTTACACTCCTCGGCGCTTTGTGAAACATCCCGAACAACCCCTGTTCTACGTCATTGAATCTGACAACAATGTCCTCTCTCCTGCCACCCGGCAGAGACTTATTGACGATGCACAAGGTCAGAATGGCGAGGCTGAAGATCTTCCGCCCGCAGACTTCGGATATCCGCGAGGCACTGGCCACTGGGCTTCCTGTGTTCAAATTGTGGACCCGATCACCACCAAATCTGTGATCTCTACTCTCGACCTTGAAGACAACGAGGCCGCTGTCAGCCTTGCTGCGGTGTCGTTCTCCAGTCAGGATGATGAAACTTTCTTGGTTGTGGGAACCGCCAAGGATATGACAGTCAGCCCTCCCTCGGCCTCCTGTGGCTTCATCCATATCTATCGATTCCAGGAGGATGGCCGGGAGTTGGAGTTTATTCACAAGACCCAGGTTGATGAACCTCCTCTCGCTCTCCTTGGCTTCCAAGGCCGTCTCCTGGCAGGCATCGGTCCCGTCCTTCGTGTGTACGACCTTGGCATGAAGCAACTACTGCGGAAATGCCAAGCGCCTGTGGTCCCCAAGACCATCGTGGGCCTCCAGACACAAGGAAGCCGAATTATTGTTAGTGACGTCCGCGAGAGTGTCACCTATGTTGTCTACAAGTACCAGGACAATGTCTTGATTCCCTTCGCGGATGATTCCATTGCACGCTGGACATCGTGTACAACCATGGTCGATTACGAAACAACTGCTGGTGGTGACAAGTTCGGAAACTTGTGGCTGGTCCGTTGCCCTAGCAAGATCTCCGAACAAGCCGACGAGGATGGATCTGGGGCACATCTCATTCATGAGAAGGGTTACCTCCATGGAACTCCCCATCGTCTCGAATTGATGGTTCACTTCTACGCTCAAGATATCCCCACTAGTGTGCACAAGACTCAATTGGTCGCGGGAGGGCGTGACATTGTTGTCTGGACTGGCTTCCAAGGCACCATTGGCATGTTTGTTCCTTTTGCCAGCCGTGAGGATGTCGACTTCTTCCAGCTTTTGGAGACACAGTTGGCTTCCCAGCAACCTCCTCTGGCTGGACGAGACCATTTGATGTACCGCGGCTATTATGCTCCCGTGAAGGGCGTCATTGATGGAGATCTTTGTGAAATGTATCTCCTGCTGCCTAATGATACGAAGATGATGATTGCGGCGGAACTCGATCGATCTGTTCGTGAGATCGAGCGCAAGATTTCGGTAAGTTTGCAAATGCCCACGAGAGTATATTTGTCATTTCACTAACATCTCCCAGGATATGCGAACAAGGGTGGCGTATTGATTTCGGGTTGGTTGTGGCGTCTTCTGGCGTTCCTTGCCCTGTATACGGGCTTCATAATACCTACCTGATTGTTAATGGATGATGATTGTGCGGTCTTGAACCGCGACTAATATTCGACTGAAACTAATTGCCTCGACCTTGCATTCCATAGACCTCCCCTTTCCTCTGGCTATCTTTGGCCGCGTAGACTCTTTTATGATGTCTCTTGCCTCGCTCGGTCTGCCGTTTCCCATCGGCTAATCTTGAGCTGGATGCAGCCGGTCACTTTTAGTGCTGGCTTGTACGAGACAAGAAGAAGCGTGAAAGCGCGTCGACGATCTTTGAGTACGATTTGGTCCGAAATGCACCACGGGTCTACGTCGTAATTTATCAGTTGGGACAACCTTGTAAATCTTTTTTACCTAGTGAATGAAAACAAACCTATTCCAAACCTTTCTGTTCAAACTGTTGCCGTTTTGATTTATGTGTACAAGAAGAGTCGGCCTCTTGACGACGTAGTTCAACGATCCGATCCATTTGGCTTATTAAGATAAGTATATTTTCAACTATACCACACTGCGATATCTTTGAATGTCGTTTCAAATGATTAGCTCCAACCTGTACATATATTTTTAGCGGTGAAAAGCACCGCGTTTCTATGTATAATGAAGGGATCACCTGACTATCCAACCTCGGCCTCCCGACTTTCTTTGTACACCGAGATCGAATTGCGCCATCCAAGATTTCTTTCTCCGTTCACTCCGACACTCCGGGAAAGAAGAAAAAAAACCCAGTTCGGCATAGCAAAAATTTCGGTTATGGCCGGAAATCTCTGGGGCCGAAGCTAGTCCCGGGTTCCATGATTTATTCTCCGCGGGAAACTTGTTACGTACCTCACCTCATGAGAGTGAAGACCTGAGAGGTCCTCAGTTATGACCAAAGGGTGCTACAAACACATGCAAGTCAACGGGATATTGCTTTGAAATCGACACCACTCATTCTGAATAGGGTATCTGAGAGATCACGATGATTGGCCACTATACGAGGTACAGCAGAAGCTCGGGCCTAGGGGAATGTGAACGGGGTGGAGTCGAAGGGCGTGCATGTTGTAGTAAGGCGCACTCCACTTCTTTCCCCCTTGACGGAGCTTGCTACTTCACTGACCCTTTGGGATTGAAAGCTCTGAAAGGGGGTGAATGATCTAGAAAAGATCTCTGGAAAAGAGGCATGTCACTTGGAAGATCTTCAAAAGTCCTCTAGGGATACAAGATATACCTAAATATCATGTGAGATCTTCAAGCTGGAGCGTTCTTTCTATGCAACTCTGACCAAGCGGAATGTTAATCCAAGGGCGTGATGCTAGAACGGATCCTCGCATCCGACCAATCACACTCTCCACTCTGATGACTCTCTAGCACGACTTTCCCTATACTGGATTGTATACGATCTGTTTTCTTTTTATGATTTAAGAGGCGCTACACGTAGATCGTCGTGATCATTGAAGTATGATGTAGATGCGCCCTATGACTTGTGAGTCACTTAAAGCTGATTTATAAGAACCTTGGGGAATATCTATTAAAGCCATCTGCCATCTGAAACCTTGCTCACATTGCTGTCTAGACCTCCACACTTGTTTTGCTTGACCCCATTGCGGTTGTCGACGGCTCCACCGTTTACCTATTTTTTTCCTTTATTTTTCTTTAAGAACAATTTGATCTGGTCCCTATTCACACCTTTTTTCCTTTTTGATATTCCATTTCTTCTTCATTGTCGCGTCGGCTGGCATATTGTTTCTGCGTCTCTTCGTGGAACAGGCCTTTATATCCTCTTTGCCTTCCCCGTGAAACAATGTCGACAACTACTTCAATCAGCTCTGGCTCAGACAGGCTAGATGCTTGGACACGACGATCACAGCCTAAAATCGAGATATATCTTGTAGGTCAAAAGCCGGGACATGTCAACTCTTACACCACCGGAGAGAGTATTGATGGCACTATAACCGTCACCGTTGAGCATGAGACTCGATTTGATGAGATTGAGATCGTGTTTGAAGGTACTTCCCCTTGAAGACTGGCCTATAAACAATGCTAATTGAAGAAAAGGTATATCTCGAACTACGGTAGAACGGGCATCATGTCCCGGCCGCACGGGATCGCAACAGATGTTCCTTAAGTTGCGCCAACCCATTGATGAAATGGAGTATCCGACCCCTCGAGTGCTAGAAGGTGGCCGATCATATGAATACCCTTTCACATTCGTCGTCCCAGATCGCCTGCTCCCCCAGGTTTGCGCCCATACCAAGAAGAATGCTCACATTCAACGATCCCATACTATGCTTCCGCCAACATTGGGTGATCCCATCCTTGCTAGCAACGGCAAGACACTACTAGATGACATGGCACCCACCATGTCCCAGATTGCCTACGTGGTTCGAGCGTGTGTCCTTCAGAAACCACTCGTCGGCCAAGGAGTCGTGGCCATCGCCGGCGTTGGCAAGAAAATCCGCATCATCCCAACAGTTGAAGAAGAACCTCCTATTGAAATTTCCTCAAGCCCATCTCTCTGCACGCGCAAAGAGAAGACCGTCAAGCGCGGAACTTTGCGAGGCAAATTGGGACGGATCGTCGCTTCATCCTCCCAGCCCAGACCCATCCAGTTGCTTTCCCCGAACGGCGAGCCAACTGATACCGTCAGCACCGTGGCTACCGTAAACCTGCGGTTTGATCCAGTCGGCGACGAACAGCCTCCCCCACTCGGAACAATGACCAGCAAACTCCGTGTCAACACATTCTTCAGTTCTTCCCCATGGGAGGACTTCCCTTCCACGACCGGCATGCCCTATGCCCAGATAGGATGCGGCCTGTACACAGAAAGCGTCCCTCTGTTGACCATGTGTGTTGCATCCGCTCGGTGGACAAAGAAATCCACAGCCGTCGACCATCTCCGCCGCGACTCTACCGACTCATCATCATCCGATTCGTCAACCGGCCCCTCCTCCACATTCACTGGAGACACTTACTACACCGCATCAGTGGTAGTCCCCGTCACTCTACCCGCGTCCAAGGCTTTCGTACCAACTTTCCACGCCTGCCTGATGTCTCGCGTTTACGCCCTCGATCTCTCCTTGACATATCACACCCCCGCAACCAATATCATGACACCGACGATCTCCCTCCGCCTCCCGGTCCAATTCACGAGCGTAGCTACGCCCGCTGAATCGCTAAAGGCTGCACTCGGTATCACAGTAACACAGCAAGAGCTGGATGAGTTCTTCTGCCCACGAAATGTGACATCTCCTACCGACTTCTCAAGCCACAATCTCAACAATGTGGTTGTTGACATGGGCCTTGCCCCGCCGGAGTACACAGAAAGACTGAGCACGCTGAGAGCCCGCCACTAAGTAATACGAGATGTGGATGATTTTCTCCACGCTCATTTGTCTATTGTCAACCAATACCCCTAATTATGTTGGCCAGCACGAAAAAGTCCTTTTTTTGCACAGCGTTCATCTGATGTATGACTGCTTGTCTTTGTTTCAATTATACCCTGTTGTTCACACTAAACCCTTTTTTTTCCTTTGTCTTACATGTATCTCAGCTTGTTTATTTCCTCTTGTTTTAATTAATTTCTTTCACACATACCCAACTGAGAGAGCCTTACTATTAATATTTGCCTATTACTGCTTGAAATAATAAACGCCCTTGGCTCCGAGGACTCAGAAAATGACAATCCAAGCTCCATGTTAAATGTGTCCTTCATATAGCTATGACAAGCCATATGGCAGCCCTAGGACCAACCACGAGTAACTAGAGGCGGAAGCTGCTCTTTCTCAGTTCTCACGTAGTGTTGTACATTTCTCGAGTACGGTAAGTTTTTGGGTCCATCGCGCCAACCGGGCTTTTTGCCGTTAATCAGATACCGGCCAGTCAGGTCCTGAACAGATTCCAAGACTGAAGGGCGTGTCGAGTGGAAGCCTTGAGTGGGGAGAATTTGGATGATCGGAGGGGGAGGAAGAGCGTTGTGCAGGTTTGGGCCCGACATTATGGCAGAGAAGTAAGGACAGGCAAAAAAAGAAGGAAAAAAAAGCACACGATTTTGTTAATGGGATGAAAGTAGTGGTAATTAATATGTAGGTGAAGAGAGGTAGAGCGAGGTGGCGAAGGAAGTGTGAAGTGAACGGATGTTCTGAAGAGCCGGAGCGGCGGGATCCAAGGCGGAGGCTGACAAGCTCTTATCCAGATGTGCGCTGTTTGTCCTCTTTGTCCTGTTGATGCCAGACTTGGTGTGCGAGATTCTCAATATCGCGATGACTGATGATAAAATCAATGTCATCTGGCCCTTTGGGCCGGAGGTGGATATCTTCAAAGGAGAATCGCATCCTCCCCTGGATCTTCTCACAGTTCGGCGCTGGGTTCCTTGCGATCTCAAGTTTCTGAACGGGGAATGCAGTGCGGTTTCCCATCTTCCATTGCTCAATAGATATCCTTCTGCGCTCATGTATATTGACTGTAAGCACGATGTTGACATGTCCAGAACATTCGTTCAACCAGAACTTCACGTCTCTCATCATCTTCGCCGTGGTCTCTGAGTACGCGACCTCGACTACGATAGTCGGCCATCCCCTGTCGAGCCCTGAATGTCCCGGCTTCCATGAACAATCGGCACGTTTCTTCTTGTTTGAACTGCCTCGATATAGCATTGCTGCTGTGCCGACAAGCGGGTAATTTGGATCGTCTGGTCCTAACCATCCGTCGAATAAACGTGTGAAAGCAGTAGTTCCTACTGCATGAGGTCCGGACTCCATGATTTTGACGAGAAGCTCGTTGATGGAAGGGTCATAACACTCCCAAGATTTTCCGAGGGATCTTTCTTCGGAATTTACGAAACAATCGAGGAAGGAACGTTCATCAATAGTAAAAATAACATACGGGTTACGTGAATCCATATACCCTTCGTATTGCTCATCTTGATCATCTGGCCCCTCCACAATCTGGAGACAGTGCTGGATTCCCTTAAACTCATATTTTGGGGTCGTAGAAGGAAGAACGTCTGCATAGGCCATGATGCTGGGTGATAAACCAAGACTAGTGTACAGATAGAAAAATGTCATCGAGGGGAAAAATGACAAAATAAGAGCGTCATTTAGCTCCTACATGTGTTCCAAGGTTGTAGATTCTGCTTACTTCCTACAACGTAGTTATCATGTAATCTTTACTCCCCCGGGCCATCCTTCATCCTCCACCATCCTTGGGTCGCATGGGTAGGCATTTGGGGCATGCTCAGCTGCATATGAATCGAGAATGATCAGATACCGGCCAGCCAGGTCCTGAATAGACCTCAATACTAAGAGCTTGAGAGGAAGCCTTGAAGAGGATTTGGATGATCAGAGGGCAGAGGAGAGCGTTGTGGTTTAGGCCTGATGTTATGAAAAGCACGCGAGTTAATGAGATGAAAGCGGAGTTTTCCCTCGAAAGTTAGAGGGAAGGAAGGTGTTGAAGTGCTGTGGCTGGCACTTCAAATCACTCCGAAATATTTAGATACTAGTACAGAAGAAATCAGATCATAGCACCCCAACCTGGAACCTTGGAACATAGGCAAGGAGATGAGCTAGGTACATGATGATCTTATTTTGTCATATTTTGCCACTCGAGAAACTCAAGCCTACATATTATACAATGTATCCATGTACTATAGCCTTCTCTCTTGCACTACAATTTCGTGGTTTATCGGCATCATGTATGAAGATGTTCTTCCTTCGAATACCCCAAAATACGAGTTTAGGGGAATCCAAGATTGTCTCCAGATTTTAGATCGCCAATGAGAACAATATGAGGCGTATATGGGTATAATAAACCCGTATATTATCTTAATCATTGATGATCGTTCTTTCCTCGAGTGTTTTGAGAATGGTGACGAACGCCTACTTAAAAAATCATGGAAGTTGTATGAACCTTCAACCAACCACCTATTTATCGAAATGCCGATAAGTACCATTCATGAGGCAGCCAAAGGAGCATTTGAGGCACTCTTCGAGGCTTGGGCCGGAAAGGACTTGAATTCCCCCCTGGTTGCTACGGGTGCTGCAAATTTCCGAGGTAGCTCGAACAGAAACAAATGCCCGGATTCAGGGTGGCGCCCTGAATATTCTGCAGGTGGTAGAGCAACGGACTGGCCGACTATAGCCGTCGAAGTCGTCTGGAGTGAGAGAAGAGTGCAGGTGGAAGAGGATGTGAAGTTCTGGTTGACTGAATCCAATGATCAGGTTAACGTTGCGGTTACAGTAACCATTTACAGCCGGGGCAGAATATCTATTGAGGAATGGAGATCAAGAGGACCAAATCGAGCTCCTGTCCCTCGCCAAACTATTGAAATTGTCCGTTATCCGGCCCCCAAATGCTCGAAAGTTTCAGGGAGCTTTCGAGTACCCTACGAAAAAAATACACACCCGGAAAAAGCCAAAGAACGGATCAGATTTTGTGCTGGGCCCTCAGGAGATGGAATTCGTTGCATACAGGGTTTGGGATGCTCAGTTTAAGGGCCGTCCCTAGAGGTCGGAAGAAACCTTTCTTGTTACCTCTCATATCGTCATCATGCCATTAAAGATCAAAATTCTCAAGGAGGCCAGACCCCCCCCCGCCAGGGGAAGAATCAACACCCGTACCTGCACCCGTGCCTATGCCTGCGCTTGCGCCCCCAGTGGCCGAAACTCGACCCCCGCGCAAGATCACAACAGGGAGCCGGGAAATCGAAATCCTTATCCGTTGTGGGAGGACCGATTCGAGGACGGCATTCGGAAGCCTCGACAAGCAGCAGGGTTGCCGCCTATTGACCAGGCAGAGCGCAATACGTTGTTCTCAATGCCTTGGTTGATGCTTTCATTTTGGCCTGAGTCCCGTCCCACTGCTATCCAGATCCTTGGCTTCGAATGGATGGTAAAATGGGCTTTACCCGAGTACAGAATATCCGGACCACTTGATCAGGATCTCATATTACACAAGCCTGTGGATTTTAGAGAATACTACGCCGTATACCCCCGCATATTCCGCGTTGTACTGCTTTTAAGGTACAAAGTAAGGGCCGAGAGTAAAACCGCGCGAGATATAACCGGTTCATTCTAGTATCTTTGAATCAAGATTCCTTTAAGATTCGAACTAAACCAGCATATCCAAACCAGACTCTCAATTAAATTTACTTTTGCTACATTTTGTGATTTCAACATGCCTGTCAAGATATTAGCCTTTCTTTACCGCAACCCCCATCTGTCACCGGAAGAATTCAAAAAGCGCTACGAAGCGCATGTCAAACTGGTCAAGAAGCTTGCAGGCGAAGACTTCCCCCTTTCTCATCATCGAAACTATATCGCCCGCACTGCGGTCGAAATCCCTCCGGATGGCTCCACTGCACGCAACGCCTTCACTCCGGCCACTATACTCCGCGGGCGACAGCCAGATTTCGACTTTGATGCCTACGCCGAACTTACCTTCGCCGATCAGGCTGCCTATCAGGCCTTTGCGGCCAAGATCTATGCCCCGGGTGCCGCTGCCCAGATCACTGCTGATGAGGATAAATTTCTGGACCGGTTGAGGATGGGAATCGCCTTAGTAGGAGAGGTGAGAGTTACTGTGAAGTGAGGTACTTTCACCAGAGCTTATGGGAGCTGTCAGAGCCTCATCAGACCTGTGATGCATCATTTTGAAAGTCCGACGTGATCGTGAGATACATTTCAATGTAGTATCTTTTAACCAAGGGCTATTTTCTCAGAACCTAGTGTGTGCTCAATACCTCTATGCTTGAGACTAATCTACCATCTATACTTGGTCACATTTGAATCCCAAAATTGCAAAAGGTCTAGATGTGTAGAGCCAACCCACGTGAGAAACTTCCCTTCATCCGGTCATGGAATCGTATTCCTACTGGCTTGACTCTTCTCATCCTCGGTATGGCATTAATATGACACATGTTCTGGTCGCATGGCCCCAGTGTCACATTGGTATTTATCCTTCTCACAGGGACTGTTCCTGCAGACCGTGAACCCGGTATATTAATATGTGTCAGACTGCATATCCACAGACCCTAAATCATAACCTTGAATAGTATCATCTGGTTTATTTTGTTTGATACTACCACCCATTTATATTTATTAACATGATTCCTGGGGCAGGACTGGGGTGATGCTGCAACATCCAAAGACACAGCTTCTAGTCACGAACAATTAAATTTGTTCCGGGCTATAATCCTCTATCCTGATTCCGCATCAGCGATGGATTCCATATGATACTGTCACCCATCCTTAGGGATCTCTCAGACTGATTGGTCGGGGAATCTTTCACACGAGGACAGATAGTCAAGTTATCGCAAAGGGATCAACCCCGATATCAGAACGTTACACAGTTGTGTGGTATGTTATGCAGTTGGCATCAACTACCAAAATACGGTCAGTACACAGTAGATATCATATTGGGATCTTCATAGTGTGGAGATGATGTCCCGTGGCGCTGCTTAGTCCGCCAGCCTCCACAAGAAACACAATGCTTCAATGGACCAAGTGAACTACCCCAGTTGCCTGACTTGCTGAATGTGACCAGTTCATAGAGTCTCATTGGATTCCCCGAGATCAATGGCTGAAACGATGAAGACCCCTTAGTATCAAGCAAGTCACCCTTTAGGTAACAGGGTACCTATTACCTATTTAGGAAGACAAACACATTGAATGGACTTGACAACTATTGTCCGTCATCTCAATACTCCGCGGAGGATATCTCTTTTGTTTGTCGACTTCGACTACAAATAGTGAGGTCATTTCCCTCTTCGACCTCACCAAACTTCATCCTCGCTGGCCCGAGACATCAGAAATCATCTCGACACTCCTTCATCATGCATCTTGTCATTCCTTTCCTTCTAGGCCTGAGCTGGCTCGCCAACGCTGTCTGTATTCCTGCCCTGAGCACCAACACTACTGGGATTGTATCTCGTGATGTTGGCGGGTACCGCTCGGTGGCATACTATGTGAACTGGGTGGGTTCAGACCATATCTATTATATATCACTGGATGGAACCGGGGATATAAAGAATATCATCCCAACATCCAAACAGCGACGCTAATCAGAGTATCAGGCCATTTACGGTCGAAACTTCCAACCCCAAGACCTTCCCGCCGAGCGACTGACGCATGTACTTTATGCCTTTGCCAACGTTCGCCCTGCCACAGGCGAGGTCTATTTGTCGGACTCCTGGGCAGACACTGACAAACATTATCCTACTGATTCCTGGAATGATTCCGGAAGCAATGTCTATGGCTGTGTCAAGCAGCTTTTCCTGCTTAAGAAGAGAAACCCCAAGCTCAAGGTTCTTCTGTCCATTGGAGGCTGGACCTATTCCCCCAACTTCGCCTCTGCGTTTGACAACGAGGCTGGTCGGCAGAAGTTTGCTGATTCTGCTACGGAGCTATTGAAGGACCTCGGCTTGGATGGTATTGATGTTGATTATGAGGTAATTCTTCAATAGTTCGGATCCTATGAGTTGCTGATGCTTATAAATACTACAGTACCCTGCCAATGACGACCAGGCGGACAAACTTGTCGATGCACTCCGACGACTTCGTGGGGTATGTGATCATTTTATGCATATCCATGGGCGGTGGCTAATTAAATTCAGGCTTTGGATAACTACAGCTCGGCTAACGCTGGAGGTTATCATTTCCTGCTTACTGTCGCATCCCCCGCTGGCAAGTTTATCCCTATCGTTGGAATATTTCAAACCGCTGACAAGTCCTAGGCCCAATCCACTACCGCCAAGAGCACCTGAAAGAGATGGACCAGTACCTTGATTTCTGGAACCTCATGGCCTACGACTACTCCGGTAGCTGGGATAGTATTGCCGGCCACAATTCCAACCTCCACGTGTCCAACGACAACCCGTCCAGCACCCCATTCAACACGGACCAAGCAATCGACTACTACTCCTCTCAAGGCGTAGCCACCAACAAGATTGTGATGGGAATGCCACTGTACGGTCGAGCATTTACCAATACCGACGGCCCGGGAAAGGCTTACAATGGGGTTGGAGCGGGCACATGGGAGAACGGCGTGTGGGATTACAAGGGCCTGCCACTGCCAGGCTGTACCGTAACAATCTTGGATCAGCCAGGTGCAAGCTACTGCTACAACCAAGGGAGCCGACTGTTTGTGAGCTACGATACACCTGAAATTGCGCGCCAGAAGGCGCAGTACATCCAGTCCCGTGGACTAGGCGGCGGAATGTGGTGGGAGAGCAGCTCTGACAAGTCTGGCGGGGACAGTTTGATTACAACTGTATGTCACTTCTGGTTTCGATATCTGGTCCACACCTTACTGACATACACACAGGTTGTTGATACCCTTGGAGGTGTTGGCGCTTTGGAGAATAGCGTCAATCAGCTGAACTACCCTGCCTCAAAGTACATTAACTTGAAAAACGGATTCCCTTAGATCATGTTTTTTCTTTGGCTGTTGGTATTTCAATATCAGACATATTTCGCCGACATATGTATGGAATGGGACATTTATGGTTGCTATGTGGGCACATCCGGATCAGCCTTGATGGTTGATAGGGTGTGCGCCGATTTTGCATCTATTTTGAACACGTTTTATGAACTGGAAATTTTAAAAAACACGATGACTATCGAATTTTTGCTGAATTGTATGTATAGATGTAGATGTAGTACATATAAACTCGCAACAAGGGACGTAAAATAGCGTATACAAAGAGACCAAATTCCTCAAGATAGTAGCATAGAACCCCAATCGTCCCAAAACTGTTTTGATTCCGAATGGTTATTCAAGTCTTGTTTCCTTGCGAATCTCCGATGTGAATACCATCGCTGATAGACCCGACAGACGGAGAGGCACTTTCTCCTTTGCCATCATTACTCCGAGCGCCCTCGGTGACAATCTTACGATCTCTCAGCCCTTGATAAACATCACGAATCTGCTCTAAACCACCATCGAAGATCGGATAAAAGATAGCAACCAGCATACTGAGCCAGAGCCAGATAATAGCGACGACGACCCAGGCAATATAAAACTAGAACAGCCAGTCAACGAAGAACCACCAAAACAAAGAGCAACACATACCTTCTTCCCAAAGACATAACCAGATCCATACATAGGCAACGGCCAAATAACCCAATGACCCAAAAAGGTCGCCACAGCCCAGAAAGCCGCAATACGGCCCCACCGTTTCAGCTCTTTTTGGTCATGGGCACCCCTCCCTCCATCCTCACCACTACCATCATGATGCGCAGTCGTCAAATCACCATCCGACTTCTCGAGAGACAGCTTGACCTTCTTGAAGTCATCCCAGTCATAATTCTGCGGCCGGACAAGCGTAATCAAAATGGAGTATACGATGGGCGACAAGCAGGAAGCGACTGTTCCATATAAACAGGGGAGGACTTGTCCCGTCGACGCGACGGAAACTTCACCGCTGAAATGCGATGCTGTCCCGAGCCAGACAGCCAGACCTGTCGCAAGACCAAGTACCGGAGAGAGTATTGCGGCGGCTTTACTTTGGCGTCGCCAGAGGATTGTGAAGATCATTGGGAAGATTCCGGGACATGTAACCACACCTATTAAAACAGGATTATTAGTCTGAAATAGAAGGGAGGAAGTGGAAATGGCATACCCAGCATATAAAGTGTCCAACCTAAATTGATACCCACGTAGTGAAGCATGGTACTGAAAGCAGCGGAGAAAACAGCGAAGAAAATCACACCAAAGTGGCTCGCGCGGATCAGATCCCGGTCTGTGGCTTTCTTCTTGAAATACTCGCGGTACACATCGAAACTGAGAATAGAACTGACGGCAATAACCTGCGCTGAAAGGGTTGATGTGCACGCCATGAAGGTTATAAGCAGGACTGCTGCTGCGCCCCCTTTACCGGCGATGGTTATTGCTGCGTATGGGAGGACTAGGCCATTGCCGACTTCCATAGTTGTCATTCTCTGGTTTCAGGTGTTAGTGTCATTGAGCTTGAGGGAGGTAGAGTGCTTACCCTTGGGAATGTGGGGAAGGTTGAATGGTTCTCGAGTCCTAGGGCAACGGAGCTCATTACTGTTCCTAGGCCCCATGGGATGGCGAAGTAGGCGATGCCTCCGATTGTGTATCCGGGTACTACTGCGGCTGGGGAGGCAGAGAAAGCTTTGATAAAGTAGCTTGTGTCCATCTGGGGGAGTTAGGGTGTGATGGTAATGGGATGTATGGTTTCTGCTTACAATGACCAAGCCGAAGTTTCCAAGTGTGTGAAGAATTCCAAAAAGGATTGCCTGTGGTGATATCAGCGAATCGGGTGGTAGACTTGATTCATTACTGTTGGTCTTACGCTCTTCGATGTCATTGTCAGATATGTCCCGTCTTGGTTGCCAGAGACCGGGTGTCGTTGCGCCGCTGCTTGGACAAGCTCGAAAAGATCACCCACGGAACCAACCTGGTCAGTTGAGAAGGCTTTGACAGAGAAATAGCATGCAATGATCATGATTATAGCCGTGTGGAAATAATCGGTGAGGAATCTGCATGGCAGAGTTAGGTGTTTGGACCTCGCAGGTTGAGAAAAGAGGACCTACGTTGCTTTGATGCCACCGACAAATGTGTAAAGAGTCACTCCAACCGGCAACAAGAATGTTGCAGCAATAATATGCATTCCAGTACTGGGTTGGTTAGTCGGAGCATATGAAATAGACTGGAAGAAGCTTACACAGCAGTGATCACAGCAGCGGCACCAAGAAGCATATTAGCGCACGCGAAGATATTGTTCACCAGACAGAGAATCATAAACACAACATGTGCCACATGTCCTATATCACCGAAATAGAGTCAGCAAATGCCCAAACAAGCGACGAAAGCCAAACGTACCGTATCGAATCCGAACAACCTCCAGCGAAGTATGCGCTTCAGGGATCTTTCGCTTGCAGGATATTCCCAACAGCGCAAAGAACACAATCATCGGACTGCAGCCAGCTGCAAACCAGAACGGACCGGCTATGCCATAGTCATAGCCGACAAAGGATGAGCCGAGTAAAGCGGTTGACCAAAGCCAAGACTGAAAAGTCATTTATCAGTTGGAATCCAAGCGGCTGGGAGAGAAAGACTGACTGATATCACGGCTGATGCGGTTAGACCTGTGCGGACAGTACGGTTTGCTGTCATGAACCTGTTTTGCGGATTAGTATTGAAGGAAGATTCGGGACATTTGCCTACATTTCAGTCTTTTCGTTGTCCTCTCCGGTGGTTTTCTTCAAGACTTTTGTGATAAGCATCATCACTGTTCGGTGTTAGTTGGCGTGTTGAAATACTGCATTGAAGTACCCACCCAGAGCAATAATCACACCGATGACAACGACGACGATATAGCCGACCGCCTGTGATAGAGGTGGCTGGACAGTCGAAATGCCATCGCGGGCATACAAGCTCGTCATTGTGTATGTCCAATAGCCTACTCAATATGGGCAATTGAGAAGAACTTCACCGTTTCAAATTATTAGGACCTGATGTTGTACATCTAAAAGGAGAACCAGCAATGGTACCGAGGAGACGGAACAGGGACTATGTTTAAATGATGTGCGTACGTCTCACTACCAAGTCCCCGGACAGGGATATGATTGAAGGCACCTGTTCGACGAATTGATATAGGGTCCACAATGACTTGATTTACGCTCGCGATGAGGTGCTTTTCGAGATTGGCGCGGCTCAAGGGATTTTTAGGTTTACGTAGGGTTATGGCCATGATGATCCCAAGTTTATGATTTATCACGTTGGAGAGGATATTGAATCACTATTGTGTATTAGGAAAACGAAAGATATTCAAGTTCAACTGTGATGCTCAACAAAGTAACCAAATGATCTAATTTCCTAAAGTTGAGTAAATCCCACGTCAAGGACCCAATAGGAACGTGAATGAGAATATACGTGGACCTGAAGGTAGATGCAGATCACAACACTGTATTATATATCTCTCGGGCGAGAGTTATCAGAATAGTCTCGAGTATAATTGCTTTTTGGCCAATTAAAACAGTTGCGCAATTCGTGACTAGAGGGGACCTGGCACGCCATCACGGCCCACTGTGATGCTATAACATTGCCAAACATGCCGAGTGACGCGGGGTATTCTAGGGTATTTTATTTAGATTGAGATAAATACAAAGATTCTCCCGGATTGTTTGAATTACTAACTTTCAAAAAATGTCTACTTCAGATGCGAAGCCTCGCAAGTCGCTCATCCTCAATGCCTTTGTGGAAATGTGTACGTCGAACCCCATGGAACATGTGAAACTCCGATCTAACGATCAGTATAGGCAGCGGCCATCAGTCGCCAGGTCTATGGCGACACCCCGAAGACGAGTCGCATCGCTTCAATGATGTCGACCACTGGGTCGAACTAGCACAATTGCTCGAGTCGGCCAAGTTCCATGGAATTTTTATCGCAGATGTTCTTGGTAAGTATAGGGTGGAAGTTTATCTTGGGGAAGAAGTCTGACAATACATCTTTAGGAGGATACGATGTCTATAAGGGACCCAGGAACCTCGATCCTGCAGTCATCTCGGGTGCTCAGTGGCCAGTGAACGAGCCATTGGCTGTTGTGCCCGCGATGGCGGCAGCGACGAAGAATATCGGATTCGGGGTGACGGTCACAACAACCTATGAGCAGCCATATCATCTTGCGAGACGACTATCTACGGTTGACCATCTTACCAAAGGACGGTAGGTACATCTAGTAACCGATGGGAGAACAAGTCACTAATTGAATTTGTCTGATAGATTGGGATGGAATGTGAGTAACACACCGAACTCGACGATCAAGACTCCAAAAGAAATACATATTAACAATATCCTCAGGTCGTAACAGGATACCTCGATTCCGCTGCCCGCAATATGGGCCAAGCCGAGCAACTACATGTAAAGCTTCACCTCCCAACCCCACATGTGTATGACCCGCTAACAAAGAAATCCAGCACGATGATCGCTACCTCCTCGCCGAAGAATACATCAAAGTAACTTACAAACTATGGGAGTCCTCCTGGCGCCAAGACGCCGTAACCCTCGACCGCGAGCGCGGCATCTACACCGACCCAGCAGGCGTGCGTGAAATCAACCACGTCGGCAAATACTTCAACGTGCCCGGGCCTCACCTCTGCCAACCCAGTCCACAGCGCACACCGGTCATTCTCCAGGCCGGTACCTCAAAAGCAGGCAAAACCTTCGCCGCGCAACATGCCGAGGCTATCTTCGTGGCGGGCCACAGCCCGGCCGTCGTAGCGAAGAACGTCAAGGAGATTCGGGAGCTTGCACAGAGTCAGTATGGGCGTGACCCGCAGAGTATCAAGTTCCTTGCACTTCTTTGCCCTATTCTCGGTAAAACCGAGGAGGAGGCTGTGGAGAAATTCAAGTATTTCCGCAGTCTGGGATCTATTGATGGAGCGCTTGCGCTGTTTGGTGGGTGGACGGGTATTGACTTGGATAAGTATGGAGATGACGAGGAGCTGCGACATGTTGAGAGTAATGCTATCCGGTATGTGACAACGCTTCTCCTTTCCGGCTTGACAAAATACTGACTTGGGTTTCTGTATAGCTCTGCTGTCGAGGGCTGGTCTAAGGCGACACCAGAAGTGGCTAAATGGACAAAGGCCACTGTTGGCCAACATATTACTGTCGGAGGGTTGGGTGCTACTCCTGTCGGCACAGCTTCTCAAGTTGCCGATAACATGGAGCGATGGGTAGAAGAAGCCGATGTGGATGGGTTCAATCTGGTAAGTTGTGTTTCTTGAAACAGCCCCTTGTATCTCGAGACATTTACTAACCCCATTCGCACAGGCATACGCAATCAAGCCCGGCTCCTTCAAGGATATCATCGATCTCCTTATTCCAGAGCTCCGCAAGCGAGGTCTGTTCTGGGATGACTATGCTGTGCCCAAGGGAACCTACCGTGAGAACCTATATGCGCAGCCCGGCCAGGCCGGACCCCGTGCAGACCATCCTGCTTCTAAGTACCGGTGGAATGCTGGCGTGGATGCTTCGGATGCTGTCATCCCCGATAACTGAATGCGACATCATTTACAGAATCTGTGTAGCAACAATAAGGTAGATAAGGTACCAAAGAATGATAATTAAATGGGGATGGTTTTGCTCTTTAGGTCGATACCTTAGGTACTGATGTGGATCGAATGTGATTTGCATTCAGAACTCCCTCTTCCGAATCCTAGCGGGTATCTTTCCCTTCGGATGCATAACACCGAACATAAAATAGTTCAAATCCGGCTGGATCCAAGATTGTTTATCTGTCAGCAGCTCAATATCGAACGCCGTCAGAAACATTGCCATCATCACGATCATCTCCTCCTTTGCGAAATGCCGCCCAGGGCACATTCGCGTGCCTCCACCGTAGGGGATCCAAGACCCAGCCGTCCCGTTGAGGGAGAACGTTGGTTTCGGGATTGTGGAGTCTTGCCCTTTCTTTACTTCTTGTTGTAGGACGGATTGTAGGGTAGGACCACTATTAGGATCATCCGGGTAAACAATGAAACGATCCGGCCAGAATTCATCAACAGGATGTGGGTCTTCGAAAGTGCCTTGGTTCCAGACGGACTGGTTGCGTCCGGTGTTGTAGTTTGATACGATGATCTGCTCACCCTTCTTGAAATGCCACCCCCCAACGTGCAAATCGGGAGATGAGGGTATTCGGCCAATGACGGTACCGGAGCGTAAGCGTAGGACCTCGGCGTAGATTGACTGGACGAGGGGCTGTCTGCAGAGGCTGTGAATGTCGACGACCATCTGGCTCGAGTCTGACGGGTCTCGAGAGACATAGGGAGCAACCTCTTCCCGGACTCTCAGTAGGAGATCCGGACGCTGAAGAACCTCCAATAACATCCAGCCAATCGCAGGGACAGTATTTGCGGTCGCCCTGTTCATTGGTTAGCCGGTTAGCCTTAGAAAGGAAAACGAGAAAGAGAAGCAGGGGAAGAGTTCCATACGCCCAAATCAATCCAAGATCATCGGCAGCTATAGTCTCCTTGCTCAACGGCATCTTCTCAAAGAATTCATGTCTTGTCCTCATCAGCCTGGATCCAAAGAACTCCTCCCATTCTCTCTTGTCTAGTTGGCCCTGGCGGACATCATAATGATTATGGGCAAATGCTTGCCACTTTTGTAAATTGTCTTTCATTTTATCCCGGGCTACGTACGCCGCTGGTACTAGCCATCGCGGAATCTCCTTGAACAAGCTTGGCATCAGGCTATCGAATACCCAGAAATCGCTATCGAAGGTTGGGATCACTTCGAAGACATGCGATCCGCAAAGGGATACGATGGATGCTCTGAAGGAGGTCTTGCGGATGAAGGAGCTGTATAGATCCGGGATTTCAGTCCAAGCATCAGACTTGAAATCCGTTTCATAGATCTGCGTAGACAGATTTTTCACAACTTGTCTCTCCATTTCCGCGAGGCTAATTCCACTCAAGCCACTGTGAACGGATTTATAGACGAGATGGAAGATGCGATGCTCTGGGTTGGTCATTTTACTTCTGGGGTCAGGATGGTTGTTGATTCCCGTGTCGTCGGCCAGATAAAAAGGTGCATCGGCAACGTTCACACCAAATGCATTAACCAACACCTGCACGAGCCAATGCTCGCTGCTTAGATCCCTGGAACTCTTGAAAAGGGCAATTATGTTATCAGCGCCTCCGAGAAGGCTCATACGCCGGTGGAGGAGCTGTATGCAGACAGGAGTAGACGGACCATATTGAGCTCTGTACATGCAGGTCAGCAGACTTGCAAATCTGTCGATCGTATTAAACGTACGTTGCTTTTGCCAGGAATTTTCTTGGGTCCTTTAAGAACTCAGGAAGATGACCAAGAAGTGGGATAGCGTGCGGGAGTGTTGGCGGGCGGCTTCCATGACGTTTGTTGCGGACTATGACGGCGCCCTGGATCGTCGAGATCAGATAAGTAAATATAGCGATGCTGATGCAAGTCCCAATCAATGCCAACAAGCCGCCGGATGTAAATAGTAGATCCCAAAATTGGGTTTGAATGGGCGAGGTTGTTATCATGGCCATCTTTTAGACGTTTAGGTGGTCTTTAGGCCCCAAAAGACCATCGGGTGGTGACCAATTTCCTGACGAAATAGAAGGCGAGCGATTCAGTACGCCACTACCTAGATGAGGTCCAAATCTGGCCCCTAAAATACAACGACGCGGAAAGCTCTAGTCATGTGAGAAAAACAACGGTGGTAATCACGCTGCAGCTCAGTGATTACATAAGAGTATTTAACCAGACTCGGCCAAAAGATCATAGCAACAAAAGATCCCGCATTGTAGATTCGCCCGGGTCCGTGGTTTTGATTCGGCGACAGAGAGGTAGTGCAGATGTGGTTGAGTTGCAATCCCTTATTCTTTGCATGAGGTTGAGGGCATTGGAGCAAGAACCAGTAGGAGCATGGTTGAGGTTCAAGGATGGTAGGCCTCGCCAAAACACAGCTTGGGTAGTTTGAATGCAGATAGTGTCTAGATAAAGGCGGTTTACAGAATGTGAACAATCAAATAATTAGAACAATCAATTTTTAGACAGACTATCCGTAGACCGCTAGCAAGGCTCGCACAGAACCTGTTCTATGGACGCCAAGAAAATGCAAATTTTATACACAATCATAACCAAAACTCTAAGTCAACATATCATCGAGACGCTCACCAAGCACCTTCTCAATCTGCTTAACCCATCTGCGGACTTCTCTCTCAACGCTCTCATCCTCGTCTTCCATAAGCTCACTGATGTAAGGCAACATCTCTGGCAGAAGTGCCAGCCACTCCTCACCAAGTTGCTCGGTAAGGGCCTGTTCGGCCTTGAGGGCCGCGAGACGGGTGTGGGGGCTATCGCCACCGGCGGAGCGGGCATTAGGCGCAGAGGAAGGACGGAGGTATTTCATCAGAGCGGAGTTCAGCTCCTTGTGGTTATCTGTGGAGTCGGCAGCAATGGCCAGTTCTGTGATTGTGGGCACGACGTCGGCAATAACCATGTTAGAGGTCGTGGTGCTGGTTGCGTGGGCCAGCTGGGCGATCAGAGGACCGGAAATGGTGGAAAGGTGGGAGGGGCTTTGCCAGAATTCTGCAGTAGATGTTAGTGGCTATAATCAGCTATACCGGATGCAGAAAGGAAACGTACCATCCTGGTCATGCTCGAAGGACTTGCGAAGCATACGGAGGGCGGCCAACCAGAGGGACTTTTGGGCCTTGGAGGGACCCGATGTGCTCAGGACACTGACAACGTTCTCCAAAACATAGCTGGAGTACCCGGTGACGATTGACTGGCGAAGGTGTTAGCGATAAAGATCAATGCATAAAGAACCGCGAAGAAACATACCTGGAGAGTACCAAAGAAGACCTCGAGGAACTTGTAGAAAGTCGTGAGGCGCGAAGTTTGACCCTGTTCCTCCTTGGGGGCAGCGGTAGTGGCCCACTCAACGAACTTGAGGAAGATGGGGCGGAACGTGCTGTCGTTCAGCTTGTAAATCATCTTGATTGTAACGTCGTTGAGTGCCGCTTCGGCCTCATCAATGGCAGTCGATTCGAAGATAGCCTTTTCGCCAAGAGCGATCTGCTCACGGCGCAGATCGAACGCCTTGAAAATAATCTTGGTAAGGACGTTGATATTCTTGGAAATGGTAGACTTCGGGTGCTTGTCAACAGCAATTGTGACAGTCTCCAAGAGTTCGTTCACAGCAATTGGGCCGGCCTCGACGGCGTGCTGCCAATTGCGATCGACGGCGCCGAGAGTTGCGGCCACATCCACCTTGCGGGCCATCAACCGCAGGGACTCCTGGCGGCTTTCATCACTACTCTCCTCGATGTCCGCATTAGCAGACTTGAAGGACAGGAGGAGCATCTTGTCCAGATGACCAGCTGAGATCATGAATGGCAGGTGAACGAAGAGGGCAGAGAAGAGGGTGAAGACGGCGTCGTGGAGGCGCGAGTTCTCCTTGCCAGCAACAAGACTCAACTCGAGCAATTCCAATGAACGTTTGAGTGTGTCCGGGAGGGCAGGAATCATGGCTTGACCCAGCACCTCGGCCATTGAGGCCAGGCACAGGATACCCATGTAGCGAATGCGGTCATCGGATTGGCCGAGGCAAGATTCACTGGCAACCACTCTAGCCGCAGCAATAACCTTGGACGGGTCCTTACGGCCGTACTTGTCGGTGATACGGTCAATGCATGAAACAGCAGCATGCTTGAGCAGCGTATCGGGAGACGACTCGACAATGCCAACCAGGGTGGGCAAGAAGTCGAGAACCCGGATCTGTGACAGGTTATCACGCTCGGGGTTCTGGCGAAGGCGGGTTTCGAGCAAACGAAGAACCTTGCGTCGGAGTTCGTCATTGGGACCCTGGAGGAGAACCTCAATGGTATCCAGGAAGTCGACGAGAGACAGAGTGCTGAACAGAGCACCAAGGACCTCACCACAAGCCTGGTTGACGGGCTTCATACTCTGCACGGCCTCGCCGATGCTCAGCACCTGTGTTAGGACGCGGGAGAAGCAAGCGCGGGACTGATCAGCAGCTTCGTCGTCCGACTCAAAGGCAGTCTCAAGCTTAGCCTTGAGAGAAGAGTGCTTAAACAAGTGAGCAAGATCACGTAGGAGATCAACGCAGATGCTCTGGGCGTCGCGTCCATCGTCACTACCAATGCCAAGAAGGACCTGGGAGATACCTGGCTTGGTCTTGAGAGAATCACTGACCAAGTTCAAGTACTTGCTGTAGGTGGTAAGCTCCACGACAGGTGTAGTATCAGAGACCAGACCGGTCATCAATGTGAGGACATCCTTGTTGGTGGAGTATCGGTTAGCAAGCATTGCTAGGACAGCGAACAAGAAGTCTTGTGTTCCAAGCTTGCTGATCAAGGCGTGGAAGAGTCTCAGACGGCGATGCGCGGGGATGTGTTCGAAGGCTGCAGTGAAACTGAGCAGCAACTCGGAAGTTCCGGAGACAACATCCCTCTTCTGGTTACGCAGAGATTGGATGAGCGCAGGAACAACTTGATCGATGGTTTGGTCAATGACGGAAACAGAGTAGTCATCATCCTTGCGGAGAACAGTAGTGCCCATGAACGTGAAAATCGGCATGACGCTGTGGAGAACCAACTCGGGCGCAATGACAGACAGGCTTCCGACGAGAAGAAGAGCTCCGTTCTGAACCTGCGGGCTGTCGGTTGTTCGCACACAGTCAACCACCAGGTCGGCCCTAATGACGGACGTATCGAACTGCGGCTTAACAGATCCCTTGGATTTGTTCACAATAGCCAAGAGACTTCCCAAAGTCAAGCTGAGAAGATAGCTCATGCCGGACTGGATCTGAGACTTGAAGTGGTGAAGAGCAGCGAGCGTCTGGAACAATCCTTCTACAAGCTCGGGGTGAGTCTCTGGGGAGGAGCTATCCACGATCTCCAAGATGAAAGTCATCTTGTCCATCAACTTGCTCAGCTCTGCCTCGTCCTTGACAGTCATGGCAATCATGTTGTTCTGGCTAGTACGTCTCCGCTTTGGCGCAGGGCCAATAGACTCGACATCCGTAATAGACACGGGAATCTTCTGAACAAATTGCTGAAGAACAGCACCAGAAAGCTCGACAGTGCGAAGAACATCTCTGCAGTTGTTTGCCAGAGAAGCGGCATTGGCCGAACCGGCAAGGGAGATATCGAGCAACTTCTCGGATGCGGCCAACTGACGGTCTTCGGGGATCTTAGCCCAGATGTGTTTGATTTGGCCAAAGCAAGCCGCAACAAAGGACGGGCGCAAGTTATCACCAGAGCTGACATTGGAGAGAAGGACATCGACGGCGTCCTGGTCTTTGGCTGTGACAATAGCAGCAATCAAATGCTCTGTCTCGGACGCCACAATGCGTTCCTTGCCACAAATTTCTTCGACTTCCTTCTCGTTCAAGCGGCGCCAATCCTCGAGCACTGGGAGAAGCTCGCTGGTCAGGGTTGCGGTAGAGACCTTCTCCACACTGTTGACCAACTTCAGCAAGCTGATCTTGGGTGCGAAAACTGGCATTTTGACAACATGAGAGCAGATGAAAGTAAAGAGACTGAGGCGGAGAGACTTCTTGAGTTCGGATGCACCCGAAGCTTCGGACAGAACGGTGCCCCGCAGGGTAGCTTCCACCATTCTACCAACATGGTTAGGATCAAGGATAGACTCCTCCAGCCCTGGAAGCAATGCCCGCTCTAGGACCTTGTGCGAATCCTTGGTAGTGAGCCATGCAACACCCGTAGATTGTTTGCCCTTGCCATAGATCGTGTCGTGGGCCCATGGCTTCGAGCTATCACTGGCCTTGGTGTTCTTTTTGTACAAAGATCCGATAATAGCCAAGACGCCAGCAGTCTCACGGCGAATCCGTTCGGAATGATCAGAGAGGGCCACAAACAGGAATGGTAGTAGTGCCTGAGGATCAAAGTCGGCAGGTACCGATGAAAGAACAGATGATACGACGTTCAAAGCAGCAACCTTTGTTCCGATGGGGTAGTGGCCAGCAACGACTCTGATAAAGAATGACAAATATTGAGGGGCCTTAGTGGCCTGGGACTTGCCCAAGATTGGCAAATTGGTGAAAAGCTCGAGATTGCCCTCAGAGTCCACGGCCAAGGCGAAAACGCGTACCAGGTTATCAAATTCGATGATAGACTGCTTGGAGAGGAATGAGTATGGGAACAACGGCTCTTTGGTCAAAGACTCCAGAGCTGGCGTAAAGGCATCCACCTGAGGTTGATCGTCCGCATCGATCATATCCACATCTTCGATAGCTTGCGCCACAACGGGGGCCTCGACAACGGTCTGGAGGTTGTGTTCCAGAGCCGAGATATTGAACGAAGATTCAGTCAAAGTCTTCTGGAAAATTGGTTGGAGGGTTTCAGATCGGTTAAATCCTTGAACCAGCTCAGCAAGCTGGGTTTGGGCTTCCAAAGACATTCGGTGGGTCTCATCTGCACTGGAGGCTGCTTCGAGGACCAGGCTCATAGCCTTGGCAATCTCGTTCTCGCCAAGCATCTTGTGTTCAAAGACCGCGGCCAGAACGGCAAGGCGAGCATTGCCCTGTTTGTCGAGATCAGTCAAGCAGCCAGCAATGATCCCAAGCAATAGGTTAGACGTCTGATATTGGGTAGCGATTTCAGAAAGTTGGCCGATAGGGTTTTCGAGGCGCAAGATGCCCTTGAAGACTTTTTTCGGGATCGTAACAGCAGGCTTATGCTGTGCAAGGACCGAAAGGCAGATCAGACCAGATATCTTTGTATCTTCCGTCCAAGAACCCACGACACTTTCCATTAGACCATCAATAACTTCGTTCGAGAGGAAGGCCTTCTGTGCCAGGACAACACAGATCATATAGCAGCCGACGATTAATTCCGAGACATTTTTCATCGTAAAGGCATTGCTGAGTACCGGCAAAATTCGCAAAAGGATATCTTCATGCTTTTGCTTCTCGGCCTCTCTTCTGCCTGAGCGTGCGCCATCCAGCATTGTTGCGACAGCCTCTGTAACAATACCAGCCCAAAATGCGAGGAGTGCATGGCTTTGGGCCTGCTGTCTACAAACCTTCAGGACGTATTCATTTAATTCGGAAAAGAAAGGCTTGTTGGTTGCTGCGCTGTGAACAAGCGGGTGCCTTGGCGGATTAATGAGGCCGTTCTTGTATGGAGTAAGGACTTTGAATGTAGGCGTAAGTTTTTCCGGAAGAATAGATAGAAGGTTCAAAAAGAGCGGTGTCGTGTGATACGGCAAGAACGTAAATAATACGGCGGTTGTGTTGAACTCGTGGATCCTGCCACATAAGTTAGCCACCAATCCTCACGATCTCACGATCTGCAACCCCCCTCGCGATTGTTTCTCACCTGAACCTTCTCACAAGCCAGTCCACAGCTTTCACTGCGGGACTCAACTGTAGCCTACCTCCAACCAGAGCCAGGAAAGCTTCAACCGCAGTATCGAGCTCCTTGTTCTGAGCTACGTTCATCTGACTGCGGTCTTCCGCTTTGCTCTGCTCGCTGAAGATTGTGCGATCAAACTCTGCAAACCGGGGGTCCAACGAGCATAACTCCCGGAACCCGTCATAACAAATATCATAAATCGCATCAAAGTCTTGAGTGCCCGCGACCTTTGGGTCGAAAATAAGAGACTGTGAGTGTGAAACCCTTTGCGCCTTAAGGTCAAGCTCGTGTGTCGACTTGGCCGCAATTTGCGACAGCTGCGCGGCGAGAGACGAAGCCATCGTGAAGTCTCTTTTGGCGGGCTGTTCCGCGGACTTTTTTTTTCGTTCTTTTGTTTCGGTTCTCACACAATTGCGCAGTGACACATATCCTCAAGACTGTTGATAGTGGTCTTTCTTTTTCTCTGCGAACCGAGTGCAGAGGGTTCAAATAATTTGAGGTAAGTCTTAAGCTTTGTTTCACCAAGAGCAAACGGTTGACTTTTTTTTTTGCCGGCCAGCCCGACCGCCCATCGGAGGATCGTTCTTCCGGGTTATCAGACCGCGGCGCGACTCGATAAGAAAGATCGAGACACCACGATGGACTCACCTGGGTCTGAGGTTAGTTAGCCTTCACTTACGTCCTTGTAGATAAAGAGCAGAACTGACCAGAAATAAAGGGTGTCCCGCAATTCTCCAGCTTCCGACCTCCCCCTACCTCTCCTCCGGCCGCCGCGACCGGCTCGGAACATGACCGTCGCCGGCGTCGCTCGGGCCATCGTCAGCGCGCAGACTCGAAAGGGTCCCCGCGCTCTCGTCGCCATGAAAGACGTTCGGATGCTGACCGTAAAAGGGTGAAGGTTGAAGAAAGTAAGAAGCGCCCGAGTGGGGAAGGAATTGACGATGTAAACGTTGCAAACGATGAGGCAAACAAACGATTTGTCGTCGACAGCCTCGGCGATCGCGACAATACACGTTACGGCCTTGATCGCTACGGCATCCCTGCGTATCATCGCAACGGCAATGGTTTCGTACTCGGGCTTCCCGGCCGGCGCATTGATTACAAAACGCGATATGATCAAGGTCCCCTTCTCATTCTTCGCCCCGACTCAGGCTCATCTGCTGCAGCCAAGCCTCTCTCCGCTGAAACCCTATCTGCTTTGTCCATAAACCTTCCCCTTCGCCTCCAGTCTGAGATTAATGCCAAAATTCCCGCCGAGACTCATTCCACCAAGACCCAACATGCACAAAATTTCATACCAACAACAATCCCACCGTCGCAACCCGGGCTTGCGCCAAGCGTCAACTTAGATGATGATCCACTGTCATATCGCTCCATCCATATCCCGGCCAAGTCCGAAAACGAAGCCGTTGAAGATTTCGATGCGACCACCATCACTCGACTTGCTGTCGAAGCTGAAATTCTGAAACGCAATGCCCAGTTAAACCGTGCAGTGGTCCAACGACCCAATGATATTCAAGCATGGATCCGTCTTGCTGAGCACCAAGAACTTGCTGTCACTGGCGACCACGCCTCCTATTACGGTGATGTACACCTTGTGGCGAGAGCCAAGCTGTATGTGTATGAAAAAGCCATCAAGCTTAACGCACAAAATCCCGAACGCGACCACCTCGTGCTGGCCCGTATGGAAGAGGGTGCGAAAGTCTGGGACGCCACAAAACTTGCATTGGAATGGGAAGAAGTCCTCTGCCATAACTCTGAGTTCATCACTGTATGGATTGAGTATCTTGACTACTGTCAGACTAATAGTCAGGATTTCAGCTTTGACAATTGCTTTAAGATTTATGCCTACTGCTTGAAGATCCATTCACGTGTCGGATTTGGACCGCAGAAAACACTCGTCAGGACATACTTGCTACTCCGGTTGACTCTATTTCTTCGAGAATCAGGCTACGTGGAGCTAGCTGTTGGTCTGTGGCAAGCGGTGCTCGAATTTACATGCTTCCGGCCAGCCCATCTATTTGGGAAGAAAGAAGAGGCCCTAGTGGAATTCACAAAGTTCTGGGCGCCTGGGCACGCCCGGATTGGAGAGCCTCTTTGGAAACCCTGGAACAGTGGACAACTCTCCCGTGCACCTGCCAACAAGCATGTTTACACTTCCGAGGCGAATATCCGAGACTTGTTCGGAACCTGGGCACCTGCAGAGAGAGAGCGGATGTTCAAAAATCGCATGCCGTCACATACCTTCGATGGATCAAAGGAGAATGATGGTTTCCGAGTGGTCCTTCTTGAAGATTACACGCAGATACTGCCATACTTCTGGGACCTGGACGAGCGCCTTGGTTGCCTAGTTGATGCCTTTTTGTATTTCTGCCATTTGCCTCATTTGACATTGCCCGAGAATATGCACACTAGCCGACTGTGGACTGGTGATAATTTCCTGCGAAACGAATACATGGACGATCCTCAAAACACAATCGCGGACTGGATCAGTTTTCAGAAACATGCTGCAACCACCACCCTTGAACCGTTTGCGTTCCCTCATCATACCTTCGTTCACACCACCGATACTCTCTTTGCCGACCCAAAGATGTGGTTCTCAGCTCTGACGAAGTGGGCTGCAACCACCTCTCATTCTTCCTGTGTCATCGATTCCGACTTTGTACTGTTGACTCTCCATGCCCTTGTCAACCTCTTCAGAGACAGCCGATTGGCTGAATACGCCATTGCAGTGACCTTCGCATGCAACAACGATCTGGGCAAGAAGTACGGAAAACGACTCTTGAAGGAGCGATCATCGAATCTGAGACTTTACAATGCCGTTGCGCTCATGTATTGGCGAACTGGAGATCATGATACTGCTCACAATGTGTGGTCAACTGCTTTGTCTATGAGCCAGAATTTCGACGCTCGGGAGCTCACTGACTCTGCACTCCTATGGAACTCGTGGATTTGGGAAATGCTTCACACCAAGAAAAAAGAACAAGCATCATACCTGTTGCAGGCTATGCCTTACAATAGAGTCCACTTGCCGTCATATCACAAAGCTGATAAGATTGAAATTAATCAACCCAATTTTCTCAGGGTCAAGCAGGCAAGCTTTATCCGATGATCTCAGTGAATTGCATGCTAACTATTCACAGGGCTTGTTTGCGGCTCAAAAGAATGCTTTGAGGTTCAAGAAAATGCAAGCATACGCAGCTTACGCCGACTGCTACGCGATCGCCCTCTATCTTATGGGCGACCCGCTTGATGAAGTCCTCGATGTCTACAATGATGCAGTCACCTCCCTCGGAGTCATGCCCAGGACTGACGATGATTTTAAGGTACTCGGCGGAGAATTGCTACACCAGGCCCGAGCCCGGATCCTGTACCAGTATGTGGAGAAGCAGAGTGGCCAGTTCAAACCTGCCGATGTTCGTACCGTGCTGCTAGATAGCCTGGAATGGTGGCCCCACAACACCATGTTCTTGTCGCTATTCAAATGGAACGAGGCTCGCCTACACCTCACCGACCGCACCCGCGACATCTTCGACGTCACCATCGGGGCCACGGCCAGGGCCGAGCGGGATCTGCAAGGGCCTGCACCAATCCACCGTGTGCCCATCACGACTCACCTTTTCAGCATCTACGTTGAGATGGGCCGCCCCATCATGCTCGGCTCGACCCCGCATTCAATTCGGGCGGCCTTCGAGCGAGCGATCGGTGATGACGGAGTCATCCCGATCGGGCGGACTCCCACACGAAAGAGTCCCTTCGAGCTGGCAAGCTCGACCTCCGCGCAGAGCAACCTCACAATCTGGAGGTTGTACATCCTCTACGAACTGTACGCACAGTACGACGTCGGCCGCGCCCGCCAGATCTACTTCCGGGCCCTGCGCTCCTGCCCCTGGTCGAAGGAGCTATACCTGCTCGCCTTCGAGCACTTGCGGGCGGACTTGACCAACCGCCTGCCCCAGTCCCGTCCCACCCGGGCCGGGGAGGTCAGCCCTTCGGGGTTCGACCCTGCGGAGCTTCGAGCTCTGTACACTGAGATGCTGCGCCGTGGACTTCGTGTCCACTACCATATAGAGGGCCACTGGGCCCAGTAGGCCAAGGGGGGGTTAGGGGAGAGAACAGTGGGGAATACAATGATGACCAGGTGAAGGGGATGTAGGAGTAATGTCAAATCTTGTGAGAATTATGTCCTTCAATTCTGTAGATCTACTGAAGTAAAAGTGAGAGTAGCGTCCGAGATCCGACGGCAGTTTAGCAATATAGTAACATAGGGGTACTAGTGAGCTGTAGAAGCCCTTTGGACAGATACGATCTAATGTACAAAAACCAGAGTCTGGGTGCATTATATATTGGCCAGATACGGGCGACAGGTTGCCAGGCCGTCCTTTTGGTTGGGGCCACCGTCTAACGTAGTTATAATGGCCTACTACATAAACAGACCCAGAATCTCAATTGGCAATAAAGTAAATATCTTCGCTGCGGTAATTCAATCTATATTGGTTAGGTGCAATTACGATTCCTCAGTAAAGTAACGATTATCGGGTCTCGGGAGGCCAAAGTGTTCACGCAATGTCGAACCCTTATACTCATTGCGGAAAAGGCCTCTTCGCTGGAGTTCAGGAACCAATCTATCCGTCACCTCCTCCAGACCCTGTGGCAAGAACGGAAATGTGCATGTGAAGCCATCGGAAGCCTCCTCACGCAACCACGTCTCCATCTCCTCAGCAATATCACTTGGCGAACCGAGGAATGTCAACCCTGAGTATCCCCCATATCGTTGCGCAAGCTGGCGGATCGTCAGTCCCTCTTTCTTAGCCAGTTTTTCAACAGACTCCCTGCTCGTCTTGCTTGCATTTGTCTCGGGCAGGTCATCTGGCAACAAACTATCCGGATCAAGGCCACTGACATCCACGCCAAGTGAGATTGATAAGGAAGCAATGGCACTGTCGTAGTGCACCAGGCTATCCAACTTGAGTCTCTTCTCCTGCGCATCCTGCTTGCTATCCCCAACAATAATCATTGCCGCGGGTAAGATCTTCAACTGATCTCTCTTCCGTCCTGCCTTCTCCACTCTTCCCTTAATATCCGCATAGAGTGCCTTTGCGCTATCAATATCCTTCGGACTGCAAAACACAACCTCGGCGGTCTCAGCGGCCAGCTGTCGCCCCGGCTCGCTTTGCCCAGCCTGAACAATAACCGGCCATCCCTGCGGTGGCCTGGCAATATTCAACGGCCCTCGAACCTTCAACTCATCACCGGAATGGTTCAGCACGTGCATTCTCGCAGGATCAAAATATTCTCCCGTCTCCACATTGCGAGTGAAAGCATCATCGGCGAAACTATCCCACAGCCCTGTGACGACATCATAGAACTCACGGGCACGCTTATACCGATCACCATGGGCCAAATGCTCATCAAAGCCGAAATTATGACTTGACTCTGGATTCCCCGTAGTCACAATATTCCACGCCGCTCGCCCGCCACTCAAGTGATCCAGACTGGCAAATCGCCGGGCAACATGGTACGGCGCGTCGTAGGTCGTACTAGCAGTGGCAGCAAGACCAATCTTCTCTGTCACGGAAGAGAGAGCGGAGAGCAGTGTAAAAGGTTCAAATGAAGTAACAGTATGGCTGCGCTTAAGAGCTTCGACGGGCATGTTCAACACGGCAAGGTGATCAGCCATGAAGAAGGCGTCGAACTTGGCCGCTTCTAGCTTTTGGGCGAACTGGGCGATATGTTTGAAATTAAAGTTGGCATCGGGGTATGAGCCTGGATAACGCCATGCACCTGTGTGCAGCGAGACTGGCCGCATGAAGGCCGTGAGGTGCAGCTGGCGGTTGGGTTTTGAGTCGGTCATTTTTGGATTTAATTGCTATCCTCCAGATCGTATTTAAATATCGCTAGGTTAGATTCATACAGACAGTTTGGAATGAGGATAGCTGTGGTTTTATACCCCGCTAGGCCAGGTAGATATGGCATTTCCAAGCGGATTTATAATCCTTGCTCACCTGGACTAAATATGGCGTGCTTGGAGGTGCATGTATATCGCAACCTTGAAATGGCTAGGGAAGAAGATGAAGTGAACAAATAGTGAACAAATAATGAACATTAATAATGCAAACATCGTACCTTCCTTGCCTTCCCCTTTTCACTTTCTCACATCTTCCTCGCCTTCAGATCCTACTCTCTTCCTACCAGACTTTGTTTCATATTTTCAGCCCTATATATTTTCCATCTTCCTAACGCATGTTCCTTGTGAGTTTAGCTGACTTCGAAATATTGGTGTATATTCCAAGCCCCTTAGTTTCCTCTTTGTTGTTCAACACATTTGGCTTTCCTGCTCCATTGATTATCAACGTCGAAACTATGTCCGTATTTTTGATACACCAGAAGTGGATTCCCGTTGACGCCGTAACATGGCAAATCTGGATGTATCTCCTATCAAGCAAGCAACTGGGCATCATATCTTCTAAAGTTCGTGGGCTTACCCTTGTGCTAACAAGAATTTCCGATCTTTGATAATCGGGATGGCCTCGGAGACAAAATTAGCTAACGCATAGATGTCACACGCGTCTCTGGGTTTGGCTACCATGAGTTGTACTACTCCTAAACTAATTGCTCATCAGAGGAAATGGAGATTACCCACGCAAGGCTTCCGACCCAACTAGGTTGGAAGTACCAGAGAAGACAATTACGACCAACGACCATATCAAACTATGGCGCAAACAAGGAATCACACCCCGCGGCCAAATGGCAAGCAGTCAGTTTGAGTTCCCCTTGAGCGGGTGGGGGAAGATGTCGTGAGTTTGGTTGGCTATTGAAAATCTTAATACGCTGGATCCAACTGTTCATTAGACCAAGCGATCATCCATACCTAGCCAGTTGAACAATTGAAGGCTTTGCATCTGGGGCCAGCGGCCTGGGTAGCCTGAAGGTGATTATTACTCTATTCGCCCGACCGGTATCTACCAAGATGTGAATGCCAGCTCATCCGCCTGTGGCCTGTCCAACAATGCCCCACCACCTTCGCAATAGTATGCAAATTCAAACTGAAAAGAATTTCATGTAAAGGTTGTTTATTGTACTCCTATCCCTCCCTTGATGTATGTAGGAGAACCTTGGGCCTCCTATGAGCTAAGCAAAATAAAAGCAAAAGCAAAAGAACACGATAACCCATAGATTTTCTCGCAGTCTGACTTTGGCTGCCCCTTTGATATGTTCGATGTCTACGATCAGATCATCAACATGATATTTCCAACCAGATCATCCCTGAGTTTGTAAGTTGGGTTCTGGATATCGTGAACCCCTTTCTCCGACGCTCGCATCTTCTCTCGGGTCGCTTGAGGGCTGGGATGGCAGCCTGCCAGGATACTTGTCATTTGGTCACTGGGTTTGATTCCTTGTTTGCGCCACAGTCTGATTTGGTCATTGGTTGTACTCGTCTTCCTTCTCTGTTGGATTGAGGACATGAAAGCATGTCAGGGCCAGTAGGTTTAATTCCTTTAGGCCAGGAAGCGTGAGTTCGAAAAGGCCACCCAGGGTTCCTGCAGCCTTGGAACACTGCTCAGGGGACACAATTTGTCCGGGCATTGCTGGTAACTAGACAACACGCCGGTCAAAGACTCCTAATTCATCTTTGTCGTCAACATCATTCTCGGACTTAGAAGCAGACTCTGTCTTGTCGACAGTTGCATACCTGGTAAATACGGCTTTGTACAAACATGAGGAGGACTTACGACCGGTAGTTCCTTTCGAGGATTATATTATTAATTTTGAGGAATTCTGCGTTATACCGGGGCGTCTGGTATGATCACCAGAAACGAGGATAGCTGGGTTTTAGATCGAAGATTGTGACGGGCAGAGAACATAGTTATGCCCCTCTAACGCAATATTTCTCATTTCCAAATCCATCTAGATTGACGTGCCACCGGGCCTAGCCATAGGTAGACTGTTTAACCAAGGCAATGGGTGGACACTTTGGTCTTGTGTCAATGGAAGTATCGTGCTAAGTGGGTATGTCTGGTGTAGTGCCGGTGCTGACTTCAAGCTTTTCTTGATTAGACAGGTCAATAGAATCTATGGATGGGAGTTTGGACCTCGTGACAGTGGATGTCTCGGGCATGATGCCATTTTCAATGGCAGTGGCACACTGAGTAGGTGCTTTCGACACAGCGCTGGGTTCGAGTTCGCAATCTTTTTGGGTAGACTGTTCAAGAAAGTCCAGAAGAGGCTGTGGCCTCGTCTCACTGTAGACCTCATACATGATGGGTTAAAGGTAAAAATGACAACAGTGGAGTGAGATAAAACCTTCAAAGGAGGAGTAAGAGAGTGGAGAAGATATGCGGCTCAGCGGGCTTGGCAAGCTTTAAATGTGAACAGCGTATGGAAGGTCACGTGTCAACCCACTGTCTTACAGGGCCGTTGGCTCGCCCTTGTCACAGCCAAAGCAATTTTGGCCATATACAAAATAAAACAGACATATCGATGCTTTTTGGAAGTTCCATTTCCCGTGTATCTAGATCTATAGTAAGGTCCCTCAAGCTGATCAATCAAATATTCAAGCCGGAGGCTGATTTTGGCTTTTTTCTCAGATGTTGGCTCTGTTTAAGAGCTCTCTGCCAGTTCAGCTTCAATGATCCCCAAGCCGTCGCCCTCACGAACCCAGAATTTGATGACTCGCAAACCAACAGACGTCAGTAAATTACTCCAGCGCTGGCGAGTTCTCTCCAAACCCGAGCAGAAAACCATCACAGCGATATCGGTCATGCAAGGAAGCGAGCGAGCATTCTGATCAGGAAGAATATACTCTTCCATGATAACCTTGGAGAAACCGCGCTTCATAGCCGGCTTGAGATTGTTAAATATGATGGTCGCTTTCTCATCAGACCAGTCATGCAACACGTTCTTGAAATAGTACGCGCGTGCCCCTGCGCATAAATGTGTTAGCCCCATCCAAACGCATAAATATGCACACATGATAAGACTTACCATGAATCGGCTGAACCTCAGCAAAGAAGTCATGCGCAACAGTGTCAATGGAAGCCGCCTCTAGATCCTGTGCGCCACGCACTTCATCAATCACAGACGAAAGATCCTCCAGTATCAGTTTGCCTGGGGCATCTGGCAATCTCTTCCTAAATCCAATCAAGTCATGGCCACGGCCAGCACCAAGGTCTACCAAAAGTGGTGTTTCGGTAGTCATGTCCGGGTGATCGAGAAGCTGTTTGCGAACAGGGAACCAGTCGGCCCAGTGTGGACGGTCAGCGCGCTGTCCTTCCATAAAGCTATTGAATCGAGTCAAAGCTTCTGGATTCTGGCAGAGCCATGTAAATCCATCTGTTTTCAGCTCGTGAGTGTATTGAAGAGGGGCGAACAGGGGATCTTCTGGGTTGCGATAGTTGGTAGATTGGAGATATTCGGGGACTTTTTGGATTGAGGGCAGGAACTCATGGAAGCTGGTTGGATTAGCTTGCTATTATTCCCTTTTGTGAATTTGGAGCAGCTTACAGTGATCCCACGACACCAATTGACGTGCGCTGGGTCATTTCTCGGGATAGCGCGGTGGGGAGGTATTCGTTGGGAGCCGGCTCTTCTACGAAGCCATTGGCGACTAGAACTCGCATAATGCGCTCTGAAAGCTGGTTAGATCTCCCGCCTTTCCCGTTATCAACTATTTACTTACCGACTAGAAGAGGGTCTGCCGGCTTTGCTGCGGCTAGTTCGGCCAGAGGCACTGGGGCCGTGGCCTGAGCTAGCACAGGAAATACATTCATATCTTGGGCCGTCTTGACGGCCATGAGAATAATGGGCTTTCCAAATGGTTACTAATATATAATAATTCTCAGGGATCATATATAGCTTACAGAAAAGGACAACTTGAGGATCGCATCTTTGGGTCGTTCCAGCGCACGCGCTAGCTGCGCAGCCTTTTCCTGTGCTTCAACTCGAAATCTGTCGGTTTGAGTTGATTCATAGGAATCAAGTGAAGCCTTCGCTTCTGCCAAGATACTCTGAAGATGCTGGATATCCATTGTATTCGAAAGACCAAGAAGAATGAGGAAACCACAGGCTGAAGCAGAGGTTTCGGCTCAAATATTAGTCCTGTTGTACATAACTCTTCCGTGCCGAGATAGAAAATCTAGCTAATGCAATAGACCCAACACGTATGCTGTAAGATTCACTCAACCATCCGAGATCTGCATAGGATCCACACCGAGAACATGCGCATTGTGGAATGTCTCCGCTGGGGGCGGAAGATCGGGACGGCAAGGCACTCAGTCGAAACTCAAACCAGCCTACACGTCCACCCAGCCCATTAATTTGTTTTCTTAGTGGAGGAAAAGAAGAGAGAGAGGACAGCAAACTCTCGTGTCCCAAAATATAGTCACGTGGCCATGGTCTGTCTATGTTTAGGCTTTGTTGTAGACGGTTTGTTGTAGATGGAGAAGTCGGAATCAAGAAGCACGTCTGTGGAGACTATTTCATTTAAATGAGGTCACAATAGTTGCCTACTAAACTTGTGGCTCGAAATGCATCATGACATTCTATGACCAACAATCTCCACCAAGCAAGCTATTGTTAACCATCGCCCACGATAGCCTATCGGGGCGATTAGTGCTCGATATTTCGACTATCACACACTTGTGCTCTCCATTTTCCCCTCTCAGTATTCAAAGATACATGTAAAAGTGGGAAAGGAGATCTACATTCTCACTCAACGAGGGGTTGCTCACACTACAACACATACGTACCGGATCATGCCCGGCACTCGAGACCTTTCCCTTTCCGTTTTAGTGCTCACCTCTTGCCGCTTTTTGATCACAGAGTAAAACTGAGCACGTCCCTGAGTACCCTGACTTGACCACGGGCCGTTATATAATCAATGCGATTTGCTCACTGATCATCATCTGAGCGCCCTGGTTTGCTTGAGTGCTCACTGAGTATAGGGATGAGCGGCCAAAGCTACATCAATACAATGCGACGCGCTAATTCCATCGTGTGCAACCCTTGCCATTTAGATCTATCAAAAAAGGACCACAGTCAACGTGGCCGTTCGTTCCGGACTCGATCCTATCCAAGTATAAAATCTCAGTGAGGCTATTCAATTGACCTACCATTGTTTCCCTGTCACATCCCAGTGGGGTCCATGCATCCCGGTAATCCAGACGGGAACTCAGGTGTGATTACATAAGAGCATTTAACCACTCGGTCAAAAGATCATAACCTCCGATTGTCCAGCGGTATATATACTAGATTCTGCTCGGGACACTCCCAGTACTTTAGTCTAGTATCTGTAGATAGCTTTTCTCTTCTCGCAACTACAGGTTTTCTATACTCTATTGTTTCATATTCTCTAGTATCTGTCTCTCAGTTAGGAAATTATAAAGGAAATTGACGGAGTTCAAATCTCAAAAGCTTAAGTCAGAACCTCCCGCAGTGGAACCCAGGAACAATTTTTGTGAGTGGGGGAGAGTACTCGAAAAGGCACGGTGAGGTGGGCAGGTTTCATGGTTTTCATCTCCAAAATATCGATTCATGAAGATATTTCTGACATGCTATTCTCACTTCGAAAGCAGATATACCAGCATGCTCGCGTCACAGACAGACAAATGGGACCAGAACATGACACCGAACTATTCTGCCTTCCCAAGAACCATGCCAACATCCACAGCGATAATGTCTCTCAATCCCAAAAGAAGAAAACGAAGCTACGAACAGGGTATGAATGGCGCCATGGCGCGACGATCTGCCTCGCTGCGACTATTACAATTCTCCTGTTGAATATCATTATGACGGCCGTCGCTGCTTCCCGCGCAGAAAACCCATCATTTGAAGCGGAGGCTATTTTTGCAGGTGACTGTGGACGCGCGAAATATTGGTCAACGGCATTGCATATTTTAATCAACATTTTTGGGACTGTTCTTCTAGGAGCCAGTAATTACTGTATGCGATGCTTGAGCGTCCCTTCCTGACAGGACGTCGATCGCATGCACGCGACCGGCAAGTGGCTGGATGTTGGAAGACCGAGCATAGCCAACCTGCGGGTGATGAAATGGAAGCAGGTGTCACTTTGGTGTTTATTGCTTCTCAGTTCACTTCCATTGCATATGCTGTGAGTGTTGTGCGGTATTCGCTTCGAACCAGCTAACAGACGTAGGTATAACTCGATCGTGTTCTCGACAATGACTTCCAATGCATATGGAATTGTTCTTGTTTCTTCGAATGTCTCCATTGAATCCGTAGACTCTGCTACCGACTCCTGTTACGAAAAGCTTGTGGGAACAGACCCGGCACACATACAGTCAACATATCGCGACGGCGAATTTGAAATTCTCAGCAAAAAAGCCTGCATCGAGGCATATAGAGTGCCATTTCTCTCCGACCGCCGAACACTTTTGCTCGTTTCTGAAAATTCTTCAATTCCATCTCCAGGTTTCTGGGTTGGAGCCGGAAATCCAACATCGTCCACGGATGATGGTCAGGATCCGTTCGGATAGATGTGCGATAGTCCCGGGATCGATAAATCTTCTGGATCCTCCGGTTGCCTTCGATCTGATGTTCTTGAGCAGATTGATATGTGCGCAGTAATGGCAAATTCCTTTACCACAAATACAGTTGTTGTGGCGGCGCTGGATGGCTCATTTGCCTTTGCTGTCTCTAATTACTATGATTCAGCTCATTTGCCTTTGCTGCCTCTAATTACTATGATTCACAGGGTACATCACTGCCACGTCTCGTTCAATCGGACCTAAACACACTAGGGGGCTTGCTCGAGGTGAGTGAGGGCTGTAATACGGTTAAGGACACTTGGGACTTGCTTCGCAGTGAGGATTAGGAGACCCCATCGTTTGCTTCCACGGTCGCAGTGTATAATTCACATGCGAGCTGTGCCTCACCCTCGAGCATGACTCTATGACCACAGCATTACTACTCAATTGACTATTATCTGAGCCAGAGGGTGGAGGAGCAGTGTTACCTAATTCTAACATCTCTACCGTCTAGGGTTTAGGTTTCGCTGCCGTCTAACCGTAAACCCTACTTCGCTATTTAATAATATGTCGCCTTATCGCTATAGTGCTCCTCTCTAACACCCCTCAGATTATTCACTTCATTCTATATTATCTGATTAACAGTATTCTCACACGTATGCTTATGGCCGCCGAATATAATAACTACTCTATCCGCCGAAAGCCCCTTCGCGTGTCATGGCCCGAAGGCCTTTAACGCTCCACCTATTTCCTTAGTTTGCCATGTATATATAGCGTTCCACTTATGTTAATCTCTGCCTTGTTACATTAGTTACTATCATTAGGTATCTCATACGTTCGTATCGTCTAGTATGACTAGTTTAATGTCGTTGATGAAAGTAAGATAATCTCCACATATAACCTCTCACTAATCGCTATGATGTTTACGCTCTTAGTCGCCGGTTTAGCATTTACCTTACTGACTGGATTAGGGTTTAGACGATTTCTTAACTCGCATGCCGCTTACCGGGAATTATAGTCTAGCGATCAGTGCAGCGTGCCATCCACTAATGGGCGATAAGAATGCAGCCCTTAAACCAATCATGTGGGGTGGGGGTTCACTTTATGCAGCCGATGATGGAGAGAGAACTTTAATGGCAGAAACAGCCTAACTAGGGAGCGAGGAGACTAATAAGAGTACAGAAGAGAAGATTTAGGTCTTACGGAATATGGATTCTGTCATTTCTCATTGCAGTTTCAGCTCGATGGACGTGGTAGAACCAGTATCTTCGCGACGTTATGTCTAGACATACGGATGCTTCTGCAGATCAAGCAAATGCTCACCTTCCTTTGCCTTTGTAACGGTGTGTTTCCACCCAGGTTCCTACTCTGTTCCAAGCTAATTCAATATAGTTTTATACGGGTCGAATGTTGATTTTAATGAGAAAACGGCGATGGAGGTTCCAGACAACATGTTCTCGGAATCAGGGGCATCCTTGATGATGTGAGGTGTATATAATGCTCTAATCTCTGTATTAAAAAGAAATCTATACAGGCAACAGAAAGCCAAGAACTGCTAGCTAATACTATTATCCCCATATAGATAACTTCCATTTACAAAGGAAATCAGGACCTATAATCGTAATTTACGGACACATCAAAAGCTAGACAGTATTATTCAAAGAACATTGTTAATTCTATTGCCATATATTCCTACAACCGAGCATTCCCACTGGTACCCACGTATATTCTGATTGCTTCTCTCGTAACAAACCGGCTCATGCCTCGCTTCAGGATATAAAATCCGGTGTAGCAGGGCTAACCTAGAGAGTCCATGGAATCATAGAAGAGTCATACTTATCAAAAGGAGAGATTCGTGATTCGTGTCATTCGTATATAGAACAAGATAAAAAAGAAAAAGGCGAAAAGACACCAGAAACAAGACTAGAAGTGTTCCTTCCAGAATTTGAACCGAACATCCTTGGTTGATGAGGATTTGGCCGCATCGCTAATCTGCATGGCAGCAGTATTAGGACCACAGAAGTACACACCAATCTCAGTGGTACCAGAATTCTGAAGACCTGTCATGTAGGACTGGTTCAGCAATCCAAGCTTCATAGCCGTGAAGAGTCGCTTGAAGTCAGGACGACCGAAGTTTGTCCGACTCTTTAGCTCGGTGAGAGGATCAAGGGCCTGACCGACAGAGTTGAGGTAGATATTTGCAGCGGTGTCAGCGTCGAGGCGCTGTGTGAGGTAGGTATGAATACGCAAGAACTCGGTGCTTCCATCGTGAGCAGCTACATTGGCGGATTGAGCTTCGAGGGAAGATAATAGGGCTTGGAACCACTCGAACGACGAGGTATCCTTGCAGACCCAGATAAACTCGACACGTCGTAGTCGGCGAGGGGGGTTTGGACTAGAGCGGAGATGCCAAATGTTCTTGAGAATAGATGCCCATGGTGTGACTCCGATGCCGGTGCCGATGAGAACTGCGATTTCGTTCTCGAACACGTCTTCTGCCGGTGCACCGTATGGTCCATCTATACGAATTGCGGGCATGGTTTGTCCATTCTGCAGGGCCACTTCGTACATGCCGTTCGGGTCAAGGCCTTCAAGATCTTTGGCTTGAGCGGGACCGCAACCGAGGGCATCTCCAAGAGCTCGGGTAAAATCTCCGACTTGACGGACGTGGACACTGAGATATGGATCAAAGGGACAGGAGGTAATGGTGAATGGATGCCATTGGGTACTAGAAACATCAGGTACTTGGAGGAATACCCATTGCCCGGCTTTGTACTTCATGCTTGGTTTGTGGAATTGGATCTCCATGGCGGCTACGGTCATTGGTTAGCTGTGATCAATCCATCATTTGTGAAAGAAGAAGATCATACCATAAGGATGACGGATGACTTTTGTGATGACTGTCAACCGCCGGCAACGGATCTCCCTATAGAGTCGCTCTATGAGATACAAACCTCCGATGACCAACTCCCATCTCCAACCTTCATAGCCCAGGCAATGATCCCAGAACTGTTTTCCTGCGAAAGGGGATATTGGGCTGGCGGTGTCTCGGACAAAGCACCCAGTAGCGTGGGTATAGAGTGCCAACATAAACGGAATAAAAAGGTGGTGCGCATACCAGAAGGTTTCATATGCTTGCTGGCGAATGCGGTGGTGTGCGGTGGTATACATCAGCATCATGCACAGGAGCATCACATGGCCAGTGATGCCACCTGCCTGAGCAAAATGAATCTCGACTGCAAGTTCTGGGCGGATTTGATCTTTTTCGACATTGTAGAAACTGGCTAGTGTTAGCAAAATAGCCGTGACAAGCTGGATTGGCAAGCAGCTTACTTAACGTAGTGAGCAGCGGTGTGGATGGCTGTGAATACTAGTATAGCATAGGCTACTTGCTGATGGAACCACGCCGACTCATCTAGTGGTAACCATCTAATCTGTGGTCTCAGCCATCGGAGGATGTTCCGACACATAGGAAATAGGATCAATGTGCAATCGACCGAAAGCACAAGGCCTGCGCCTCGCGATATCCAGACTGAATAGTTAAGGATATTCAGCCCCGCTAACTTTGGATTTGTGGCTTGCAGGTACCTATGAGAAAGTTAGCAACACAATCCAGGATCCTGGTAAACGTCAAAATACATACCATCCTAGAGCAAAAAGACCAATATGTAGACCCCAAAAGAACAAATGGAACAAGACCCCGGAAACAGTCACGTTCGCCCTCTTCAGCCAGGAGTCTTGGGCTGCGGCCATTCTTTCTTCACGTTTTTAGGAATGTCGACCAGCGACAAGTAATGTAGGCGATAAGTGATAATTCAATCAAAGGAGTGACGAGACGGTTGACCAGCAACCCGGTAATATACACTGAAGTTCTGTCGAAAGTGGAATCTCCTGATCCTGTTTCACTGCAAGACTCCAATGTTAATATTGATAGTCGGTGGCTTTGGAGTTTGTCAACGTCGTTGTTTCTCCATGAACTTGGCGCGAATCACGATTTTTCAGGATAACTTTCGCTTGGAACCTGAGAATCAGGGCCTCGGTGTACTGGAAATATTCCAAGTAAAAAGGCACACTTGCAGCTCGCGATGCTGCTCAATCAAGATGTCTAGAAACTGAGTGTGAGATGTACGTGTTGTCGCGAGCGCTGTTGGCGTTTCGCCGGGGGATTCCCCTGCACGTCCCCTTTCGAATACAAGAGGTTACTGGATTGAGATAAATGTGATATTCTATCGGGTTGAGGTTGTAGACATGGTTGACGTCAATAGATGAGTAAGGACGAAGAAAATTTGGAGGTTCAGAGAATCCCAGTGTTGTGTTTTAGCTGCAGGGGTGAGGAGGGGGGCCGATCTATAATTACATCGCTTCCAGCGGGCACTACGGTAGATTTTAGTCCAATAGACTAATCCTATAATGTCTGTGCTTTTTAAATTCTCCTAGGAATTGGTAGTGGAGAGACTAAAAGAGTGATTTTAGAGGCTAGAATCTTGTCGCTTAAAATCCTCGTCGGTTTCCACCAGGTCTCTTTCGACTATCATCTTGGCTGATGCTGGCAAAAGTCCTGCTTATGACCTTGGGCCTCTGTTTTAATTAATACACTGCGAAATTTTCTATTTTTAAAGACTATTAGTAGCAGGCACACCAATCATGACACGGAGTTTATACGCCGTACGAAGTAGCAGTCTGACCACCGTGCCACGTTCCCCGCGATGAAGCGAGTCTAGTACGAAAAAGGAAGCCACCCTGTTCGACCGATCCTATCCAGGTCGGCTTTTTGCTCTAATCATGATGGGCTTGAACTGGTGGAAGCTAAACGAGTCGAAGCCGAAGTTTGAAAGGGATTGATCCCCCGGTGGCAGAGAGGCTGATGAGTGGTTGTGAGCGGGCAGCGTTAAATGAAGCCAAGGAAAGAAAGTTGCTGGGAGATTGACCTATTGCAAGCCTCCTGCAAGCGCTGACTTCCCATCACACAGGAGCCCCGAGGGTTGCCCGCGGTCAATTGGTGAAAATACCTGTCATTCGGTTCAGGATCCTTAAGCGAGTAGCAGTTCTGGCCCAAATATAGAATAGTGACTGACTCGAGCTATGTTTCCTCATCAACGACAGTTTTTTCCCCGATGAAAGTCTCCACTTAGTACTGAAAGCTAAACCAGACACGGGTTCACTCTGCAGAAGATGCAGAAAGACGGTGTGTTGCACCGAATTGAAATCAGGGCTACAGTGGTCATCTGATCTGGAATGTTCCAAACTGTCTCTGGTACAAAGCCGAGACAGCGTAGACAACCCAGGCAGTCCAGAAAATCGTAGGCCTCGACATCAATAAAACAATTTGAATGTCAATGAGACGAGAGAGAATCCAGACCCCTGTGCGTTCCATGCGTGCTACTGCAGTTCATCACGCCAAGACTAAGCGCTCCGGCTTCTGATTTGCGGATACCCACTCTACGATCCGCTCCGTCACATCCCCCACTCTCCAATCACATGGGCTATGTCAATTCTTCAAGAGCTCGGGAAGAGGGGATTGTCAAGGATTCGGTGAGCTTTCCGACGATGATTGGTCTACAATACTTGTATCCGAGCAGGTCACAGGTTAGCCGTATCCTTCTTGCATGTCGACCAACCCCATGCAGCGATTTACCTTTTTGGCGCTCGACAATCACATCCTGGCAAAGTGATCCGAGTTTTGGCTGATCAGAGGGGTCGGTTATCTAAGTATAGATTATTATACCTGGTCGCGCCTGCAAGCATGCCACTCGGATCATGCTGCTTTTTCTTTCCCATATGAGATCATGCTTCCACGATAAGCCCTTGCAATAATATCCACTCTCCATGTGCTCTGGGTTCTCCAACTCAATAAACATCTCCATGGCTTGTTGATCGTATGATGAAGTGATTTTCTCACAGAGTCTGTCGCAGCTATTTGGGATTGCCCAACATTAGTCTCGCACTTTGTCACTCACATCCAAGTGACTTTATTTCCTCCGAGATCTTCGCTGGACGAAGCTCTACCACACAGAACTATTTTCACACGGCTGCGTGCCCTGGCTCAACACAATGGGCCGGCTGATCAAGAACCACTGGGGGAGGTTAATCATTCTCACCGCGGCAGCTTGTACGTTACCCACTCAAAACTCCAACTCGAAACCGGCACTGACAGAATGCAAACAGACCAAGTCGCCAGCGCTATTGAGGCCTTCATCTGGCCCAAGGTATTCTGGGACTTCATCTCCAGGAACCTCGATGCGGCCGTCGCCCCAATACCCGTTCTCCAAATCCTAAACCTCATTATGGGGCTCGTGGGCATAGCCTGGGAATGGCCTCTCAAGCCACTTGCTGGCTCAATACCACACCGCAGCATTGAAATCCGTCTTATCATATATCCCCTCAGCGCCCTCCTCGCGGCACTTCTCTATCAAGGCACCGACCCTGCGATATATTATTTGATTGGCATCGGTGTATATTTCTGGGCCTACAGTGAAGGCGAGGTGTGTTCTTCCGCATATTCCGACATAGTCTGTCCCATGCTAACAAAATATTATATAGATTATTTGCCCGGAGCCTTGGACCTTGCCGAAACGGCATGGGCTACTGAAAGCATAACAATCGGTTCGGTCTGGCGCATTGGATGCAGCAGACGCAGATCATGTAAATAGTTTAATCCATAACGAACTTGACGACTTGAAGAATGACATTGCTTGTATCATTAATCTCTTCTGGGCGGTGTGGGTATATGGTCTATAGCATGCGCGGGGACTACCCGAATATTCCTCCTACTTGTGTTCTCAACTTGCGTAATCTAAATTGTCATTTTTCAATTGACCGCATCACTGTTCTCCTCTCACGGCATCTAGAATAGTCGCAACCATAACTAAGTTAATATGTCGATGCCTTGTCGGTGAGGCACCAACCACGACTTGGCCTGGCACGTGATGCTCTAAGCAGACTCGAGAAAATTTAGGCAGACTCAAGAAACACGACGTCATGTTGACAATAACACCCACATTTACATTTAAAGCTCATGATCTAGAAGATCCCATATAGATGCCTTAAGCTGCGTTTATATGCTACGAACGGCCTCGGGACTGCTTAGAACCCTCGAACTAACCAATCTCACTGACACCAAACAAGATGTCTCCGCCTACAGAAATCCAACCCAAAGTAGAGGAAGACGAGCTCGTCCTCGAAACAGAGGATGTCCCAGTCAACAAAATTACCAGTTTCAATGGCAAGCTGCAGCAATTCCTACATAAGGGGACTGCAGCGCACTCAGCCCCAAGTGCCTCGAGCACAACTATATCGCAACGCCGCATAAACACCACCAATACCGAATATAAACCAAACATTAGCGAACGTCAATCAGAAGTCATCATCTCTAGCCCAAAGCGCAAGAAAACGGATCCACAAACAACAGCGTCGGCGACCACAACCACAACCACCCTGCGCACCACCCGCTCCCAATCAATCTTAATGACAACGCCTCCATCCCCTGTCCCAACCAAACGCAAACGCAGCAAACCAACCCCAAAATCCCCACCCACACCCCCACTCGCCTGCCCATCAGCCGCAGAATCCCTCCTCCGCGACACAATCCCGCCAAACCTGATCCTCCTCCTCGTAGGTGTGAACCCAGGAATAAAAACCGGGATAACGGGGCACGCCTACGCACACCCGTCAAATCTATTCTGGAAACTGCTGCATTCCTCGGGGATAACAAGTATCCGCCACATACCAGCAGACACATACAAGCTTCCTGCGCTGTACAGCGTGGGCAACACGAACATTGTTGAGCGGCCGACGCGCGACGCGAGCATGCTCAGTCGTGCGGAGATGGATGCTGGTGTGCCAATTCTCGAGGCTAAGGTTGCAGCCCAGAGGCCTGAGGTTGTTTGTCTTGTTGGGAAGAGTATTTGGGAAGCTGTTTGGCGGGTTAGACATGGGAGGGGGATTCGGAAGGAGGAGTTTCGGTATGGGTGGCAGGCGGAGACGGAGAATATGGGGCGTGGTGATGGGTGGGATGGTGCGCCTATTTTTGTCGCTACGACGACTAGTGGGCTTGCGGCGGGGATGAAACCTGCGGAGAAGGAGGCTGTTTGGGCGGAGTTGGGGAGTTGGGTTGTAAGGAGGAGGGCGGAGAGGGTGGATGATGTGGTTGTTAAGGATGAGGTAGTGGTGAAGGAAGAGGTTTTCTAATATGGGGTTTATCATTTACTGTTGCTTCTATCATAGATGTGGCTATACCATACCTATACTATCATGAGCTATGATCATTCACATGTTGCTTATTACATGAACCGATTTACAAATGGAAATGTTGAAGATGAAGATGGACAAAAATTTCTTTGTATTTATTTGTAGACGAGTGAAATCGCTCATCATTCATTATCTCATGATATCAGGTGCAGAAGCCTGTGAGTATCAAGATGCAACCCCAGAAACGGCAAGCCCTCTAGCCCATTCCGGGGCTTCGGATAGAGGGTGTTACATGACGTTTTCCGAAAGGATCATGCGCCAAAGTGCCATACAAGAGACGATCGAGGGATATGGATATCTCAATAGAGGTCAAGGTGAGGGGTAAAGGAGGAGGGGGTGTAGGTGTGCAGGGCGTGCTTCAATGTGACACATCGACAACTGTCCGATGTCCCCATTGGCCTCGAAAGGAGGACCGGTCAGATTTAGCGGCTGCCGTTGGAGTCATTCTTGCTTCCCTCACGCTCGCGTGCCTGTTAAAAGTCAAGTTAGTATACAAATCTCAATTGAGTAATGTGGAACTGAATCACTTACCGTGGTGGCCTGGAATTCGCCGCCTTCGAGGATCTTGACAATGCACTCTTCCTCCTTAGTTGTGCCGAATTCATTCTGGAGAGAGCTCTGGCTGGCGGTATCGAGGACACCCTGCGCTCCGTGACTGTATATAGATGTTAACGATCTTGACGTAATGATAATAAAAGAGCTGAAAACACCTACGAGTGAGTCAGGAAAATCTTCCAGCCGTTCAGGACTTCAGTCAGGGGAATGCTGCGGTCGGTCTTCCACTTCTTGAGGATCTCAAGGTCGTCCACGAAGACAATGAAGTCGTCGGAGCTACCCTTGTAGAAGATCTTGGAGGCAGTTTCGTTTCCACGAGCCATATTGAAGTATGTGAAGGTTTGGTTTTAAGAAAGGTTGAAGAGATTGGAATAGTGAAGAGAGTCAGTGAGAATGTTTGAGTGAAGAAGATTGAAAGGTAAAAAGGTGGTGGTTTAATAGCTGTCGAAGTGGGAGCTCAGGTGATGATGCTTAGTGACGTCACACTATAAGCTGATGCAAACAAAAAAAGCTCGCATTCTTGAGATATTTAGATTAATCTGAATTGTTCACAGTGGATAGCATTATATGTCATTAGTGGTTCTAGTCTCTCACTTTACTACGTTTCTTACACGGTGAGTTGCCAATTATTGCACCACACGACGTCATAATAGCTCCCCTACCCGCTATCGGATCCGCTGTGACGCCAAACGTGGGGATTCTCAAGTGGCAAGTTGGACATCTGCTTTGTATTCTTAGCTATACGGAATAATTCAAGCCATTATGTTTTCGCCAAGTTAATTATAATGCCCCTTTTGACTCCATTGCTCCCCCGAATGAACCAGAATCATCCAGAACCACAAAACGATAACAATCTAACAATACTTTGTAAGGACTTCACTCAACTTGAGAGCGGGTCTTTTTCAGCTTCTTGGGTGTCAAGGTACTAAAGAAATTCTTAGGAGACGACCATTTCTTGGAAGACGGAGATGACTCGGCACTCCCATCCTGGCTCCGTCGCTTCTCGCTGCGAGGTGAGGAAACCGACGATGCGGGCTTAGGTGAGCTTTTGAAAAGGAATGTGGACCGCCGAGGCGTGGTGGGGGGTGTCTGAGGCAGCTCAAACTCGACTTCCTTATCCTCCCCTATCTCGCTGCCGCCTATTTCCTCCTTGTCCATTGCATCGCTCTCTTTGTCGGGGTGCATCTCAGTCGATGCTGTTCTTGAATAGAAGGTACCTTCGGCGCTGGACGGTCTGGTGAACCCCGGGCGAAGGCTGAGCCGTCTCATGATCGAACCACGTCGGAAGAGATCACCCCTTCCGAGAACCATTCCTGGTGATGGAAGGAGATCCCCGGTGTAGACCTCCGAGATTAGTCGTTCCAGCCGGATTCGGTCGATTCGGCGAGCAGTCAATGTAAATATGGAGCGATCAACAAGTGTCTTGGGCCGTTCAATCTCACCTTCGGCCTGTGTGGCTGGTTCTTCGGTGTGGCGCGGGTAGTGTGTTTTCTTGATGACTACATGTTGAACGTGAGACTTGCGAGTCATGGTCGTTGAATCCATCGACCTCCGCGCCATGGAAGACACTGTGTACTGAACATGGTCTAAAGGGACCAGTGGGAGGGCCAGAAAAGAATGCTTTCCTGGCTGCCACGTCCTGGGCTGAGCCGTTTCGACCAAAGCGGCGGACATTTTGAGGATCTCAGTATTCCATAGCTTCTCTTCTGTTGCCGATGATGCACTGAGGACGAATTCGTAGTCCTCATCTTGGTCTTGGAACAGGAGCTTCCAAGAAAATAAACATCCGTAGCAATACAGCCCTGGTTGGTTAGATATATTTCGAACACAAATAGCAGAAAGTTGCTTACCTCGTCCATTTTGAAGCGTATCAATCTTGAGACTGTCTAGATAGATACATGCCACTGCTTCCAGTCGATGCAACCCATCAGTTCCCTTGGCGAAGAGAAAATAGCGGCGAAAAAGCACACAGACCATGAACTCTCCAATGGTGGTTTCGGCCGTTTGATATGTGACATGGAGCACACCGCACAAGACTAGTGGGCCTAAGTCTTTATATATATCTTGGAGTGCGTACTGTCCAAAATATTCAGTCATGCTCATTCCACGAATCGATCTGGGGTTACTTACCGATTTCGAGATATCCACCTTACCCTGGAGAGCGATTGTCTTTTGAATGCGATCTTTGTTGATCGGGTTTCCAGCTGCTAAATTGATCCGTGTCACCAGCACCCGTATATTATCCAAAACTTGTTCAATTCCGTCATGGGCAGACGGACAGTCACTGACAGGGGTAGCTCTGAGCAGATCTTGTAACACAAGGGGGTATTTGCAAAGACGTTGGATGGGCTATCTTCGTGTTAATGATTGAAACATCCACCAGGTCTTACTCACACACCTTGATTAACAAATCATTCAACGTCATTGACTTGTTGTTCTCCTGCCTGCGTCGCTCTGTGGATGCCACCGATTTCGAAAGCGCCTCGATCCCTTGATCGTATATTGTCCAGTTGGCAATTGACCGGCGTAAGAGAGCAACATCCTGTGTCAATAGTTCATAGTTGCTGCAAAATTGGTCATACACAGGGAATGAAAGTAACTATAAAATTCGCAGTCAATACGTGGACTAGTACCGGTGATATACGGATCTTACCAATTTTTCAAACTCACGAGCAACTTCCAGCACCTCTGTTGGTTCAGCGTTGAGTGCCATGAGGCGTTGGTTGATCGACGCCTTGAGTGAACGGGTCCTCAAAGATCGTTGCTGAAGCCCCCTTAGGCCACCCACATCAAGGGTCCCTATACGCTTGGTAATCCCGCGAGATGTAAGATCAGAGGCGCCTGCCTGTTGAGCTTGAGGCGCCGACAAGGGAGATACCGCCTGAAGCTGAGTCAAAAAGCGTTCATGTATTCCGAGGATCTCCTGGATGTTGTCATAGATCTCGCGCCTCGTGCTAAAGATCGTAAGGATCTGTGATTTTACAGAGCACGTCAGCATCAAACCAAGAGATTAAAATTGGCCTGATGGCTTACCCCGATAAGAGCCTTCAGACCAAGTACATAATCAGACTCTGTTTCGACAAGTTCCTGTAGGATATGGCGCCGTCTGGTGGACCGTGTCTCCGCGGCTTCATCAACATGGTGACTTGAGCTTGGCCGAGAGCTGTCACCAGAATGACGCACATCTGATCGTGTGCTCTGGTTTGTTGCGCTGTGAATAGTTGTCCTCGATCTTATCAAACTCTGACTTCCAATGCTTCCTGCGATTGTTTTGACGGTTCCGAGCTGCGATGAGCCGGATGTACTCGACTGATGGGACGTACTCGACTGATGGGATGCACTCGACTGGTGGGATGTGCTCGACTGGTGACCTTGCGAGCCATGGGAAGATGAATCTGACCAGCCCTCCACAAAGCGCGGTTGGAATACGGGGGACTCGTGCTTCCGTGCTCGAAAGCTGTCCATCCATCTCTTGAATGGACGAGTTGACTTATCGGTGGGAGTCACTCCACCACTACTTTCGAACTTCCCTTCGGATTCATCCTCCAGCAGGTCTTGTTTCTCGATTTTATCTTGGTCTGCCATGGTCCCAAATAGCGATCCCGCCCAATAAAATATAGGATTCAGATTCCGATGGCATGGAGAAAGAAGAGGCGAGCCTAACCGACTACTCAAAACAACGGGATCGAAGTTCATGGCGAGGGAAGAGCGACGGTGAGTGACTGCCTCGGCTACATCTTCAACTTTGGCAAGTGCACCGAAAATAGGGGAAACTGCCACTATTCAGGCAGCACAGAGTAGAGATTGCAAATTTGAAACCTATCCATGTACGTCATGAGGAAAGGTAGCGGGATAGTTGGAATTGAAATAGCACATTTTATCTTTTATCTTTTGGTGGATGAGTTTTGTTCTTATGTTATCAGCATAATATGTTGAAAATGTGAAGCCTCTGTTTTGATGTCAAAGTCGTATAGTTAGTTCGAGTGCCAAGCATCGCCGCTTATATAAAATAGTGGGAGCTCCAGGGCAGGTTCCCCCAGACCCACCGCACCTGATCTTCTTCCCTCACTTTCTTTCTTTTTTCAATCATGGATAACATTCACGCTCCAACTGTTGCCTCTGGACCGACATCCGGGGCCACTCCCCGTGATCTGTCCAAATTGTCTATGCCAGATCTGATGCAGGAGAAAGAACGCATCGAGGTGGAACTGTCAGCTCTTAGTAGTGTCCTCCAGTCGGTGAGATTTCAGACCCAGAACTTCCTATTACAGTTTCTAACAAGCATTTTCATTTTAGCATGGAGTACGCATGACCTCATCTCTCACCACCTTTGACGGTTTCCCCCGTGATGATATTGACATCGCGCAAGGTACGGCCTTTCCACACCCTAGTCGATTAGGACATATCGCTGATGGGAGATCGTAGTTCGCACAACGCGCGTTCGCATTATCCACCTACGAAACGACCACAAGGAGGTGATGAAGCTTCTTGAAAAAGGCGTCCACGCACATTTCGCCAACCTACAAAATGCGCAAGGCGCTGGCCCAACTACGAATGGCACCAGAATTCTGCCGGCTGTTCAATCATCCACAAATAACACCGCGTTGGGGAGACCGTTTGCCAAGGTCAATAGCGTGGTTTCAGGAAGTCCAGCAGACCAGGCGGGACTGAAAGCTGGTGATGCAGTTCGAAGTTTCGGGAATATCAATTGGCTGAACAACGAGCGCCTTTCAAAGGTCGCGCAAGTCGTTCAGGAAAATGAAGGGGTACGTTCGGTTCTCCGCCCCTCTGTTAGAATATCTATATGCCTGACTCTCTTTCTCTATAGCGGGCAGTATTGGTCAAAGTCTCTCGGAAGGATGAAACGAACGGCGGCGCCGCAACAGAGCTGGATCTCCAGCTCACCCCTCGACAGAATTGGGGTGGCCGTGGCCTCCTAGGATGCCACTTGGTTCCTTTGTGAGGGGTCACTTCAACTCAGACTTACAAGCGTAGCCCGATTTAGCTACCACCATGTACATTGACGACATGTACTGCTTATGACTAATGTGAGACGTCTTTTCTGCCTTTTTTTTAACAAAATACCTGGATTCCTGTAAAAAGAGACTGGGAGACCATATGCATCGCAAAGGCGTTGGAGATAACTTGGCAGTGCGAAGACCTGACCACCATAATTTATTCCAATAACCTAATACTAGAAAAAAAAATAAGTAGAGCTCATCACGAACATACCATTTAATTTGGAATAAAAATTGTCATTCAAAGTAGCAACCTTAAATATGTTTGCGCCATCCATGGAGGTTGACTACGTCAGAGCGCCTCAGGCATACACACACGTGACCCCCAGCAACGGGGCAAAAATTCCATCCAGCGCTATTAATTCATTCCCCTTCTTTCACCCCTCCGTTTTATCAACAACTCGCCCCCATCTCTACGGCGCGAATTCTGAAACTTTCTTTTTTTCAAGTTTCTATCTTAACTGATTTTCATCATGGCCGCCGAGACCCCCACATTCAAGCTCGTCCTGGTCGGTGACGGTGGTACTGGAAAGGTAAGCGCATTCGAACATCGATATCTGATTGTTGATGGGCATGGGCTCAGAGAGGTAGCCATCTGCTCAACAATGGTCATCTCATCATCTTCATGAATACATTGAGCTCCTCTTTTGTGACCCTCTGCCCCCGCGCCTGTCAACAATACTAAATATCTGCCCAACGGCCCCGCCTCACCGCGACTTCATTACTAACACAGTGAACCCCAACAGACCACCTTCGTCAAGCGCCACTTGACTGGTGAATTCGAAAAGAAGTACATCGCCACTCTTGGTGTCGAGGTCCACCCCCTCAACTTCAACACCGTATGCATATACCCCGCCGAAGAACCCCGCTTCGAACCGTACCATCGTGTGATCGCTTCAACTAACCTGAACCGAACAGAACTACGGTGCTATCCAGTTCGATGTCTGGGATACCGCTGGTCAGGAGAAGTTCGGTGGTCTCCGTGATGGTTACTACATCAACGGCCAGTGTGGTATCATCATGTTCGATGTCACTTCCCGTATCACCTACAAGAACGTTCCCAACTGGCACCGTGAGTGATTCGTTGTCTGATGTTGAATTGATCTAGATCATTTTTATCTAACGAAACTCTAGGTGATCTCGTCCGTGTCTGCGAGAACATCCCCATCGTCCTCACCGGTAACAAGGTCGACGTGAAGGAGCGCAAGGTCAAGGCCAAGACCATCACCTTCCACCGCAAGAAGAACCTCCAGTACTACGATATCTCCGCCAAGTCCAACTACAACTTCGAGAAGCCCTTCCTTTGGCTCGCTCGCAAGCTTGTTGGCAACCCCCAGCTCGTACGTCATTTTTTTGCTTGAATTCGAATCTAAGCCGATACTGATTATCTTTTAGGACTTTGTTGCCGGAATTGCCCTTGCTCCCCCCGAGGTCACCGTCGACGAGAAGCAGCTCGAGGCTTACCGCAAGGAGATGGAGGAGGCTGCCAACCAGCCCCTCCCCGACGAGGACGATGCCGACCTGTAAATCAGTGCGCTCAACGACGGGTCCACGAAGTTTCCGAAATGAAAGTTGGGAGTCGCTATCCTCTGTTCTCTCCCACGTTCCCCCGAGTCTCATCTCACGACCGACGGGAGACAGGAAGTATACGACTCCCGGGGATTGCTCTTTTTTTTAGTTTGGGTTTTGCAAAAGCAAAGTTCTCCGAAATCACGATACAATGAAAGCGGATGGGGGATAGTCGTGGTTTGAAGACATATGCATATTTTCCTTTTTGATTTCCCCCAACCTTAGTAGCTTAGACACTCACATCCCAATTGTCCTTTTTTCCCGAAACGAGCACAGCATCCAAAAAAGCATGTCCTCTTTCAACAAGATTTAAAACTTCTTTTTTTTTATGAATATCTATTCAAAACAGATACACTTAGATCTTTGCAAATCTCGAGTTGAATACTAGGAATTACTTCAATCACAAGTATCAAAGAGGAAATTCCCTAAAAGAGTCTCCAAAGGGAAGCAAGCCTTCAGACATTATTGAAGAGCACAACGCTCTTTCCACAAGACAAAGAGGACAACGCCAGGGTATAGCAATCATTAGCCTCCAAAAAAAAATCAAAAAAAAGAACAAATTCCTGCGCCAAACACTAATAATTTGGATATGGCAGGCAGTAAATGAAATAGCAATCATATCATCGGACATCTCCGGTCTTTGAGATCGAGATCATCCGGCGGGACAAAAATGTGATCAAGTATGATTACAAGTCCCTCACACCCTATGTAATGGATAAGTGGTTAGAAAAGATCGTAGAAAGTAGAAAATGTAAAAAGAATAGAAGTCAAAACTTACAAAGAGATAAGCAAGTTCCCTCGCATCTAGTCGGGAGACATTCATGGTACCACCCTCATCGAGAGCACCACTAATTAGTTCTCGCTTCTGGTCCTGGAGAGTAACAATGCGATCCTCAACGGTATTCTCAATAAGCAGACGGTGAACGAAAACCTCCCTAACTTGCCCGATGCGATGGGCACGATCAACAGCCTGGTCTTCAATGTACGGGTTCCAGAAGGGATCGAACATGATGACATGCGAGGCGGCAACGAGGTTCAGGCCGGAGTTACCGGCCTTGAGGGAGACGAGCATGACTTTGCAGGCAGGATCGTTGGTGAAAGCCGTCACGGCGGCGTTGCGTTCCTTCAAGTTCATGCTGCCATCGAAGCGGGTGTGGTTCCAGCCGCGGCGGGCGAGAGGGACTTCGAGAAGATCCAAGAGGGAGGTGAACTGGCTGAAAATGATGGTTTTCTCTTCCAAGCCGCGGTCTTCATTGGCTTGGAGGATCTCTAAAGTTTTGGTGATTTTTGTGCTGGGGAACCAGCCCTTCTCGAGACGGCGAAGGTATTTCTTCTTTTCGGCCTTGTTTCTCAAGGCGTCCTTTCGCAGATCGGCCAGAGACTTGGACTTGGACTTCTTCTTTGTTGCTCCCTCTCCCTCTTCAGTAGAGCTATCGGAGTCAGACTCGTCACTGCTTGCTGTTGCTTCTGAGTCTTCGTCGTCATTGGCCCCGTTGGTGTCGGCGGCTCCGGCGGCAGATTCGGGCATTGAGCTTGGGTCATGAACCTGCTTGAAGGCATTGGTGTCGGTGAGCTTCGCAGGGTCCACAGGCCCTCGGCAATTCTGACACTTGATCACAGCTGCGCCATCGTCTTCGAGGTTGATGGCCCCGTTTGCAGTTGCTGAGTCGGAAATGCGGATCCAGCACTCCGAGCACACATGGTGTCCACATGGAATGTAAATAGTAGCATTTTCAACACTGTCCATGCAGACGGGGCATGTGCCATCCTCCTCCCCATCATTTGATATTATACGTTGCACCACAGCAGCGCTGAGAAGCTTCGCGTTAGCGATCTTATCTACCCCTGGGATAGACGGGGCAGGTTCATTTCGGAACTCCTGCATGAGGAGGGGATGGCAGCACGCCTGCCGAAGACGGAGAAGGAGAACCAGGACATGGCTGTAGTTTCTCCCCAGGGTGCCGGAGTCGAGGTATCGGGTGATCTGCATTTGAGTGGACGTATTGAGCTGCTCATAAACCTGGCTTTCTCTCTCATCAAACACAACATGGACCTTCTCGGTGACCTTTGGTGGAAGTTGCAAGATGGGCTCTCCATCAATCTTGGAGGATTTTGTACGTCGGAGACAGACAGATTTGACTAAGACACGTAGTTGCTTCATAACATCCTCTCCCCCCCAGCCAGACTTGATGCGTTTCACGAAGTCCTGCACAAAAGATAAATGTTAGTCACCTAGAGAACATCAATAGTGAGTTATATAGTACTAACCGCCTTGAACTTTGCTGGGTTGCTGTAAGGCCGAATCCGGAGGAATCCCAATAGGGACTGGAAATCTTCGAGACGATTCATCATGGGCGTACCAGTCAGGCACCAGCGGTAGGTAGCATTGAGTCGACAACATGCTGTTGAAGATTTTGCGCTTGGATTCTTGATGTTCTGTGCTTCATCGATGATGACTCGGTGCCACTTGGCGGCAGGATTGAGAGGACCAGACATATTTTTCAAGTCCTGGATTATCGAGGGATCCTTCCCTTCCTCTGCAAGTTTTTCCCCCTGGAGCAATGTTTTGTAATGCGCAGTAATGGTACCAAATGTCGTGATGATGACATCGTACTTTTTGAGCTCCTTCCAGGGCCTGCGCCGTTGATGGTAGATTAAGACCGATAATTGGTGGCTTCCTGGCTTGACATGGCGCTGGATTTCGAGTCTCCATTGATCCATAAGTGCCTTGGGTGCGACGATCAAAGTCGGGCGTCGGTCTTCATCTTCGAATGGACGAGCAACCATCAGCGCAATCGCTTGAATAGTCTTACCGAGGCCCATGTCATCTGCAAGAATTCCTCCTTTGTGGTTGCTCTCTTCCTTGGCCTTCATCCAGTTCAGACCGATCTTCTGGTGCTTCATCAATGTGACCCGAAGTGCACTTGGTGTCTCTTCATTGTCTGCTCTGGTTGCCTCCCGAATGTCTTTGATACCGCTGAGCAAGTTCTTGATATCTTCAGGGAACTCTTTTTCGTTGTAGGCCCTATATCAATGAGTTAGCATCATAACTAGCTGCTTTAAAAGAAAGGCGTGAAACATACACTATGTCAGCATCGTCATCGAATATTTCGTTCTGGTTGCGAACCAGGTCGAAGGCCTTGTCAAACTTGTCAAAAGCACCCGGCATTGGAGAATATGGAGCTTCGCGCTTCCAGGGAAGAACTCGAGAGGAAGCTGGTGATGAGGGATATGCCGCTTGTGACGGATTCGCCAATTGGGAGGGATAGGCCATTTGGGAAGGATATGACATCTGAGAAGGATATGACATTTGGGAGGGGTATGTCAACTGGGAGGGATATGCCATTTGAGAGGGGTATGTCAACTGGGAGGGATACGGCATCTGCGAAGGATGGGGCGGCTGTGAAGAGTATGGCGATTTGGAATATGTCGAAGGGAGAGCTGGTAGGTGAGGATAGTTGAAGGAACCGGATTGGCGGGCTGGCTGCTTGCCGAATCGAGAATTGAATGAATCAGCTGTGATTTCTTGAAGCTCATCGTCGGAATTGAATGGATTGATTTTATTGAATGGGGCTATCGGGGCATATGCTTGAGGGGTGCGAATGGCTTTTGATGAGATAGGTTCAAGTTTTACCGGTTGAGTGCGGTCTGGAAGATTCCAGGAATCCTGTTCATTAAAGCCCTCCATGGGAAGTTGACCGTGATCCTCGTCAGCTTGGAGCGCGCGAGCTAATTCTGCGTCTCGTTCCATTTGGAACTCTGTTTCAATTAACTTCGCCTGCTCATCGCACTCTTCTTGAAGTTCCTTTATCTGATCTGCATCGTCACCTGCCGCATCAATCCATTGCTTGTACAAACGCTGATTCTCGGAAAGGCGGGCTGCTTGTTCAGCATCTATCGCATCGAGTTGGGATCTGCGAGATGCAGGCTGCGAGGGAGCAAGCCTTTTTGATGATCCCTGTATCGTGGGCGAGATATGAGACAGCGGACGCTGGCGTTTACGAGAATTTTCTGGAGAAGGTTGTGTTATTGGTGAAGCTGGCAGCACAGTCGAATGGCGAAACCCGGCTGCGAAAGGAGAGGGTGCAGCAGAAGGCCAGTGAGGCGACGCAAATGAATCCCCGGGGATTCCAGTGAAAGTACTCGACGCCATGCGTGAAGGCGCAGCCGCAGGAGTCCGGACTGGCGGAGTGGGCGACCGCACTTGTGTTGTTGGTGTCGGGGCGGCTTGAGGAGTAGGAACAGTATCACCAAGCAGCGCGGCAACCTGAACTTCCATTTTTCTGATGGCATCACGGAGCTCATCTGCTTCTGCACAAGCACCCCGTGTCGCGAGGAGATCATCGTAGATGTATCTGTAGGTATCGAGATCTTCTAGAAGATCTTTGATTTTGTCCTCTTGGGACTGATCGGCCGAAGAAGCCATGGCTCAAGAGCACCTGGGACTGACCATGAAACCTCCCAAGACCAAATTATCTCGATCGTTGACAGCGTGGCAGGGTGGGTATCACGATGGGGACGACGGCTAGAACAAAAGGTAAAGTCCAAGATCAACAGAGCTACCACGTCAAGTGGGGGCTTAGGATGTCGAGCGAAGTATTCTGGGAGAGTCAGTTAGCGAAACTTGGGTTCTCATCAGCAAACAGCCAGGTAGAAGGCGGGTGGTGGCAGATGAAACAATGAGGAAGAGAAAGGAAGCGTAGACGCAATTCATCATACTGTGTCTCTCTGTTGGCTAGTACGGGTATTTGCAGAGGATGTAGACTTACATCGAGTGCTATCGACGGGAGAAGTGGATGACGGAGCAGATTTAGGGGCCTCGGGGGCGAAGAGATGGTGATTGCAGAAACGAGAAGAGTCCTTCCTTTTATAGTGCAAAAGATCAGATGGCGCAGACACGAGAGTTGACGCTATTTGCGACCGTTCAGCTGGCCCCCGGAGTCGAGATATTCATCTTGCGGGGGAAGTTGAAGTTCTCGCCCAAGATGTCATTATCTCCCCCAGTGCATAGCGACCACCAGGGACTTGGGTCATATTGACTTTTATTGCCAGCAGAAAATTGGCTATCAAATGAGACATCTTAAAGATATTGAAAAGACGTTTGTTTAGATAGAATTTAAAAAGACATTACAAAAGAGATCTTAATAAACGATCAACGCACTATAACTTTAGAAAAACCGCTTATGAGGTTGATCCTCTAACAATTCGAGTACTCTATATATGTACATAGTACTTCAAAGAAGGCGGAGATATGAGCGGTAAATGCTTTAAGGCCAATAGGACGAAAGCCCTAAATGGTCGCCATCCTCTACTGTAATTGTGAGTACCTGCCAAGGTTCCACGAGGGGGCCTTTTACTTGAGCCTCCTTCAGGCACAATAATTTTATTGATTGTTATATGTTGTACATAAGTAGTGAGGTCTTATAGTAATTGTTCTTTAGTAATATAGACACAAATACCTAGAAATATGTAAGTAATTCTACTCATATCCCTGCATTGCAGCTCAATCTTTCACTGGTATGGATGCGCCCTTATCACACGTGATTATGCGTGGTTATGCGCGTCACGCGTCAAACAAGCTAAACACAGGGCTAGACGTCACTTGCCCTACTATCCAAATTTGGCACAGAACACTCGAAGTACCATCTATATAGTTCTAGTTTCACCCATCTCGGAGTAGTTCCAGCATTTCGATTATGACTGTGAGAGGTTGCTATGGCTCATATGGTGCATTGGCGAAAGGAGGAATTGTCCAACGAGATGTTATAAGACAAGTAAGACATTCGACGTGTAGCTCAGGCTACAACTGGTTCGATATCTAGATCGAGAATGGGGGCTGCAAGTTAAGCTGGAAAAATGTCTTTGACACGCAGCTGGAACATAAATCAGGGGGTGCAAGCGGTATGTTTCTATTGTAAGGGTTGGAGATAGGATATTCTGTTTGTATAAGTTGATTTGCAGGAATTGAGAAATACTAAACTGTCCACTTCTACTACCAACCGTCTACGTGATCAACGACCACTCATGGCACCAAAACATGGACTAGTTCGACTATGGAAGACCAAGGGTCAACAAATTTTCACGGGCCATCTATCGAACAAGGACCACGCCGCATGTCGTTTAGTATGTCGCAAGTTCGCTACTTATCTCACACCAATCCTCTTCGCGGACATTGAAGTCCGGTTTCGTAGCAGTACATTCAGCAAGTCATCCTGAGTGGCAGCTCTTGAGCACATCGGGGGATACGTTCAGGCCATGACGTTCAATATCTCACAGATAGGGAGACCTTCTTACCTCCAATCCTGGATCCAATTATGGGTATAGAACAGATCTTCATCTACAAACCACAACGGCGCCAACTTGATAGCAGTAGCCCTAGGTATAGCAGCGGGCAAATGACAGAGCTGTTAGTCAATCAGTATCCGCCTCCCAAGCATATACCAACATCCCATCACCTGTCCAAGCATTGACGATGATGAGCGGCTTGCAAAATATACAAATCTCCTGCGAGGGTCAAGTACCAAGCCATCGTTACCGCCGAAGTGTAGTAGATTATGCATTAATCTCACTACGAATGGCGATCGAGCAAGCACCATTGAAACATCTCCACACTCTGTCATTGTTATCAATCCACCCAGGAGCGGCCCTTTACCTACGTCCAGCTCTAGGATTCGGTGCTCCGCCTGGAACTTGCAAGCGCCGGTCCCAGATCCGCAAGCTTACAGTCCACATGACGAGTTTCGGCCATGAGCCAGGTCAGCTGACAGACCACCTCAAGCTCCTCCATGCATACCTAGGAAGCTTCTCATCTCTACAAAGACTGGTTTTTCATTGAGAAAGCGAGAGGGGGCCTCTCACCCCTGTCGCTTGCAACAGAGCCTCGCCTCAACAGCGCAGCCAAAGGGAAGCCAACTCAAGCCTGTCCCTAGAGATGCGCGTTGCCCTTACGACCATTGAAATTCAAACATTTTCAGCAGATGGAGCTGATCAATGTGACAATGGACGCGTCGCAGGTGGCGTCTTGTATCCAGGAGCACCGGAGTACTCTGCGCGGGTTAAATCTCAAAAACGTGCTCCGCAGCGACAATTGGGACGATGCAAGCGTGCCGTTGACACGACTCAGCGGAAGCAATGGATGGAAGCAAGGTCAGCGCGTCACCAACACCGTGGGTGTGCTGATAGTATTGAGTACAGCGGGAGTCAGCCAGAAGCAATTACAGAACGCGATTTGTGCTTTACAGCAGCAAAAGAGCCTGAGGACGTTGGGAAGCTTGGCGAAAGCACGGTCCCGAATACGCGAGCTGCTGTTGCTGTTGGGGGGCCCGATCATATGAAGCGACTGCTGCGATCTGCGGTGTTTAGTTGGCGGTGACGTCAGGGGCAAGGGGTTCGCAACTTCCGAGGAAGGATTGGCATAGGCTAATAACTTTATTAGTGTCGCGATGAATACCACATTTGTGCAACTTCAGTCCCAATGCAACATAAGCGCGGTTTATGTGGAGCCGGGGGGGAATTCGTGGGGTGAACCGGCAACACGGGGAAGACTGGGAGAGCCGACTAGACTGTGGACTGTACTCCTTAAGAAGAATGCAGATCTTAGTCAAGTCGGGGCTCCATTCCAGAGAATCGGGAAGAAAAAGAGCGAAAAAAGCATAAAAGAAGAATCACAGACACAGAGCTTCCCTCGGTGTGGAGAAAATGTGGGATGGGGGCCTCGGCACGTGAAGTCAGTTCACATGCTCCTTCCAGGTCATTTATATTCGGTCACCCGCCTTGACTTAGCACATCAACTTGTACTACCATATTTACCATGTCTCTCAAGAAAGGTATACCCGCTTTTTATCGCGAGAAGTGAGAACACCAGCTAATCAAAATAGATTCCCACCCTTCGTCCGCTGCCTTCGACGTCATCAACAAGACGCTCCAGGCCAACGAAGCCGACCGCAAGGATGCCCTCAGCAAGGCTAAGGCCATTTTCGTTTTCAACCTGAAGAACTCTAGTGGCGAGGAAGCTGCTTGGTACCTTGACCTGAAGAACAAGGGCGAGGTTGGACAAGGTCTTGCCCCTGCTGGCGAGAAGGCTGATGGTGGGTCTACATTGCTGATTTGCGCGTGTTGATGTGGCGTGTTTTCTTTCTGACACCTGCTAATTGTTCTCATCAATAGTCACTCTCACCCTCTCCGATGCTGACTTCAGCCAGCTCGTTTCCGGCAAGGCCAACGCTCAGCGTTTGTTCATGGGCGGCAAGTTGAAGATTAAGGGTAACATCATGAAAGCGACCAAGATGGAGCCTATCCTGAAGAAGGCCCAGGGAAATGCCAAGCTGTAAAGATTATATACCCCTTTGAGAAATTATATACGAAATTCCTCGTCTACTAGAGCGCTTATTTTCGGCTTTTTGCTTGGGATACTCTGGTTGTTCGACTTCGAGTATACGAAATATTTTAATATGTGCCGATGACCGCGATCATCGCTGGTTCGGATCGATAAATGCCAAATTTACAAGTCCCGCACATGTCCCTGTCTCGAAACTCGCCCCTGATCCAGGACTACAAAATAATCCGCATCCTTGACAGCTTCTATGCGATGCGCAATCGTAATGACCGTAGACTGCTGCAACTCCTCCCGGATGATCTGCTGAATCTCAAGAGAAGTCTCATGATCAACGGAAGCAGTCGCCTCATCGAGGATGACAACTGCGCTTCGGCGAAGGACAGCCCGTGTCAGAGCGATGAGTTGTCGTTGACCCTGGCTAAGGTTTCTCCCTCCGGCCTCAACATGCGTCCCAAGATGCCAGCCGTGTCGACTACACAGACGCTCCAGGATTTCGGTGCACAGCTCATCGGAATAATCTTCCGTCGGGTCTATATTGAGTCGGATGCTGCCAGGGAAGAGGACAGGGTCTTGCGCTACGAAGGTAACTCGAGTGCGCAACGCTTGTGTATTGACGTCGGCAATATTGATGCCGTCGATGAGAATGCGGCCGGATTCAGGTCTGATGACGCTCAGAAGCGACATTGCCAGTGTGGACTTGCCGCTGCCAGTACGGCCGATAACTGCCGTAGTGGATCCGCCGGGGATGCGAAGAGAGACGTTTATAAGTGAGGGATCGAGATGTGGTGCGTAACGGAAAGTTGCATCTTCGAAGACAACGTCGCTACCGTAACTTGGCCATGCAGCTGGGGGAGCGATGGTCCCGGGAGTTTCTTCTTCAACGTGTAGTAGCTCATCGACTCGCTCTACCGACACAAAATCCATTTGGAGTTGGCCGTACTGTTTGCACAATGCATGCGTGGAATCGACAAAGTTGTTGGCAGCAATGAGTACGAATGCTACTAGTCCTGGTGTGATATTGGTGTATAACGCTAGAGCTGTTAGACAAAACGTGGAGAAAGCGGACAGGCTCTCAAAGCGGTACATGAGCCAGCTTTGGAGCGACCAGTAGAAGTGGTCCATTCCCTGGAACTTGTCAACCACGGATATGACCCGGTCCTGGAACTGTGACTCTGCATGGAAAGCCCGGACGGTGGTCAGACCGTGTAATAGCTCGCCGAAGTTGGACAACAGAGGACTTAGGGACACCATCTCGAGTCGTCGTAGGCTCTGAGATGTGGGAAGGAACCGGAGGAATACCAGGACAAATGCGACCGTGAGAGCTAGGGAGAACAACAAAAATACTGGGGTAGCGGTGGCAACTACCAGGACAGAAGAGATCCAAGTGATAGCCTGGAACGCAATCACCTGAAATTGCTCACTAATGTTACCATCCACGACTCCAATATCAGACGTAAGACGGTTCATCAAGCGTCCGAGAGGGATTGTATCTTTAGAATGATTAGTTAGCTTTTTCCTGTTGAGTCAAGCCATAGAACTTACCCAAGTATCGGAAGGTCGCATGGCTGACTCGGACCAAGACCCGTCGAAACAAAGACTGCCCAGCGTAGTAGACGATAACTAGCATTAGAAGCTGAGCGATAAGGAGTGTGGTCGCTTGAAAAGATATGATGGCGAAGAATGTCCATAGCCAAGGTCGCACATCCTCACGCGGAGACGGCAGTTGGTCCATAGGGTTCTGAGGCATAAGGTATGTGTCCATGCTTAAGATCGAGACTGACCAGGCGCCTTGCGATGACCTATCACTCAATTCTGAGAGATCCCCTCGAAGAACAGTTGTCTGCTCATAGGCTTCTCCCCACCCTTTGAGGAACCATGATTGCCCGACAGCCATCAGTCGGTAAATTGCCAGGATCAGGACGAGGATAAGCCACCATCGGTACTTTCCGGCCTTAATATAATTCCAATAGACTCGAGCCTTGACACCCCCGTCTGCTCGATGTTCTTCCTCGATGAATTTATCAGGCACGGCAGCTGTCTCCTCCTCGAGGGTGGCTTCCACTTCTGGTTCGCTTTCGTGGTCGATGAAGGGCAGGAAAGACTTGGTCGCGTCAAGCTTGATAGTATCCTTGTCGTAAACAGAGGCATGTTTGTCACAAATATTGATAATTTGATCCGCAATGTGACGAACTAACGTAGTTCGATGCGTCACTAGAACGATAGTTCGGTCTTTCATCAGCGGCCCTGAGAAGCATTTGCGGACTATCAATTCCGCTGTATTGTGGTCTAGTGCAGACAAGGGATCATCCAAAAGGAGAACCCGCGATGCGCTATAGACGGCTCTTGCCAGAGCTACTCGCGCTTTTTGTCCACCTGATAAACCAATGCCATTTTCACCCACAAACGATAAATCGCCATGTTTAAATTGAGCAAGGTCTGGAAGCAAGGCGCAGGCTTCCAGTGTGCGCTTGTAGCGCTGGTCGTGGTAGGGGGCGGAGAATAGAATGTTATCACGAATACTCATGCTTTGCAGCCACGGTGTCTGGGCACAATATCCCACCATTTCGTTTGGAATATGCACTGAACCGCCAAGTCTATCGAGTTCTCCTAAAAGAGCTTGCAGAAACGCGGTTTTCCCAGCACCGACCTTGCCAGTGACAACAGTCAGTCCTTTCGGGATGGTGACATCGATATCAACAAGGACAGGTGAGACCTTTCCTGGCCATCCAAACGAACAAGACTGTATCGAGATTGGAATATCGTTCGCCAGCGGTTCAGATGGTAGATTCTCCTTGTCTGGTTCGGACATGAAGTCCTCGATGCGCCCTAGGGCAATGAAGGCATTGATAAGCGATGTGATCAGACCAGGAATATCTCGAAGACGGGTCTCTAGCATGGAAAATAGCTGCAATGCTGGAAAGATAATATCAATCCGCAGCTCATGCCCAGCCAAAAAGGTATATGCGTACAACGCAACCACTGGAAACACGCCACTAGCGAAAGCGTTGATAAAACGAATCAAGATACTCCACAGACTAGTCACAATCCGGATATTCAACTCGTGCTGTCGGGCCTCCATTACTTGCTGAAGCCAATGATTCTGCCACCCGTACCATCGCAGGTGACGGATTGCTTCCACGAATTGCGAAGTTATTTGGAGCCGAGTATCCGTTGCCATCCGTCTAACTCGTTCCCAGCGGAGGAGGGCTCTGGTTACCAGTGCATTTACGATCTGCGCAGCAAGAACGGCCAATATTCCCAGGAAACAAGATGGACCGAAGAGTGTCCAGACAAGGAAGGTAGCGATCACGAGTCCTAGTGGCTTGTCAATCAACGAGTCAATCTCCCAGAACCTCTGTGCAACTTCATAAACATCTCCGCGCAAGAGATTAAAGATTTTGCCAAGTGATGCGGCTTCTTTGGCCTGTTTCTGTGGGGTCTTTTGGTTGCGAGAAATGATACGTTGCCAGAAACCTTTTACGGGTTTAGTTGGGAGTTGATGGGTGCCTTGAACTGATGCCTCATCATTGATTCCATTTGCATCATCGTCGGATGGTTCTGGGTTGCCCTCGATCATCAGTCCAGAGATGTTCTTTCGTGAAAGGGCTTTTTCATAGACCATCATGATCATTTCACCCCTCGACCGTTCATAGGATCGTCTTCCGTACCACAAAAGTAACACTTGAGACTGTGCAGCGACAAGTCGAAGAGCAAAGGACATGAAAGCATAGGTCAAAGGTACGCGTTTTGGCCGGGACGGGTCTTTCATGGCCTGCAATAGCTGCTGCAACAAAACAGGAGTAGAAAAGTCTGTGAGTATTCTTAGTGACTTGAAGCAAAAGAAAAGGCCTGATCTCTCATACCGCATATCATCTGGACAATTGAGATGGTAGAGATGATAAAAACATCAATTCCATTGGCTCTCAACAGTCGACTGAGAACAGAACCACGAAGTCGACGAAATTTTTCATGTAGACGGCTGTGCTGAAAGTCAAATCCAAGCAGCCAAACATCTTGTTCATGCAGTTGTCTTTTAA